AGTGTATATTTGCGATGAGATATTGCCCAGAAACAGACAGACAAGGAAAATGTATCAAAAGCTGAACGGTATAAAACAAAGCATGGACAGATTTACCGAGAGACAAGAAGAGGGACACGTGGATTTAAAAGCACAGCAAGACAGCAACATATTGACTGAATAAAAGTGGGCTTGGGCAGGCCTCGTTAATAGAAGAAATTATTTATTTATATCAGTACTAGCAGGAAGTACCCGGCGTCACCCGGGTCTTAAAAATATTTCAAAACTACTCGTAAATATGTAACAGCAGTGCGTACTGACTGTGGTGGTACCTGCTATGATTACAGCAGTGCATACCGACTGTGGTGGTACCTGATTTCACTGCAGCAGTGCATACTGTGGTGGTACCTGCTATGATTACAGCAGTGCATACCGACTGAGGTGGTACCTGCAATGATTACAGCAGTGCATACCGACTGTGGTGGTACCTGCTATCACTACAGTAGTACATGCTGACTCTCTAGCAGTATTTATCGACTCTATAGCACAAAGTGAGTACTGACTGTGGTGCCTGCTATGATTACAGTCGTGAATACTGACTGTGGTGCCTGCTATGATTACAGTAGTGAGTACTGGCTGTGGTGCCTGCTATGATTACAGTCGTGAATACTGGCTGTGGTGCCTGCTATGATTACAGTAGTGAATACTGGGTGTGGTGCCTGCTATGATTATAGTAGTGAGTACTGACTGTGGTGCCTGCTAAGATTACAGTAGTGAGTACTGGCTGTGGTGCCTGCTATGATTACAGTAGTGAGTACTGGCTGTGGTGCCTGCTATGATTACAGTAGTGAATGCTGACTGTGGTGCCTGCTAAGATTACAGTAGTGAGTACTGACTGCGGTGCCTGCTAAGATTACAGTAGTGAGTACTGGCTGTGGTGCCTGCTATGATTACAGTAGTGAATGCTGACTGTGGTGCCTGCTATGATTACAGTAGTGAATACTGGGTGTGGTGCCTGCTATGATTATAGTAGTGAATGCTGACTGTGATACTTGCTATGATTACAGTAGTGAATACTGGCTGTGGTGGTACCTGCTACATCTAGCGACTGTATAGTAGTAATAACTGCACGCATCGGGGTGGGGGAGACATCACACAGTGAATAATTAACGTGAGTGTTTAGTGTATTTGCATAGCATTTTCAACGCGAAAGAAAATGTCCCCCTCACTCCCACCGAAGTCGTGCGACTTGGCATGGGCCGTCCCCCCCACCAAAGGTGCGTAAGTTGGTATGGTCGTGCACGCGTCATAAGTAAATAAATAATGGTGACACACAAAAAAATCGCACTAAATCGTTAATTTAACTAATGAAAAGTTGACCGATGTGAAAAAGGAATAGCGCTTGCTGACCGCGGGGCTTACGGCGTGGTAACTGGCTATTTTTTTTAAACGTATACCCCACCGTTGGAGAGCCAAGCGAGCGACCACACACAAACCCACAATTTTTGACTTATATATATATAAATATCAGTATAAAAATTACGATACTGGCAAAAAGGTTCCATAGATATAACTGCTCGACTTGAATTTTGGTATTCTCAATATTCCGATTGCCTTTGAACTGTTTGCCTTTGGGCATTCTCTGGTCTCACATTGGTGAGACAAGGCCATAAAGAAGGCTGCCTCTGGTGTAGGCCAATCAGTTTCAAAGACAATGCCATATATTATCAGAGCATGTTTGGCCACAAGTATGTGTGGTTAATGCAGACTTGATACCTTGCAAAAGGTATCTACGTAGTGTTTGAACATCTTAACACATGTTTAACACGTAGGCTTTCGCGACCAATATCATCCATAAGAGGTTTTTGGGTTAGATCGCGTAAATATATAAATGTGTCGTTAAAATCCGCCACCACCCGACACAGCCAACTAGTAAGGGTTGTCACGTAAACAGAACGTGCCAATTCGTCACTAGTACAGCACACCGGTGTTGGGAGAGCCAAACCACAACATTTACAATTTGAATCACCCCTTCGTCATCCTCCTCATCAGAAGACGCCCTGGTGAGTTGCCTTCATCTCAATAAACATTTTAACTACGCTAAGGCAACCACCTCGCTATTATTTTTCACTTGACGCCAGATGTAGTGGTTTCCACGGAGGCACGCACTTTCGCTTGGAGGCAACACTTTTATTACTACACCCCAAAAGGGTACTACATAACACATAACGATATAGGTGGTAACTACCACGGTTAACTCAGACCCCAACGGGATAACTACTCATCTGAGTCAGGTCAGTAATGTACTGCCCGACTCACAATGCCAAACGTGATGACCGAAGACCGAGGAGACGGAGCACCGCGGGTTGATTCCTGAAGACAGCCCGGATCGGCTCTCGGGACCTCCCTTATATGCCCCGGAGCGTGGCCCGGCTCCACCCCCTTCTGGATCCTTCTAAAAGGTTCTGGGCCACATGTCACATGTCCCTCTTGCCTCCCCCTTGATACCCTCACCTGGTCACGTGCCCTCTCGGGTTCACCCAGACTGGTAACGGTCAGAGAGGACATGACAGAGAGACTCAACAGTTCCGCACTTCCCTCAGTGGCTGGCGCTAGACGCCGTAGTGGCTCAATATACACACCACTACACTTGTACACGCTATTCTTTGGTTTTTTCGGTAAAGTCACGTATAAAAATAAAATAATAAATTAAATAATAGCATAATTTATTATTTTATTTTTATACGTGACTTTACCGAAAAAAACAAAGAATAATTCCTGCAGTCACGAAAGCTCCAAAATTAAGATTGTACACGCTATGTTTGAAGGACTTGGGTCGCCACACTCTGCCTGCTCCAAACTTCCACCTAGAAGCCTTAAGATTCAGCGAAAATGCTCCGATATGGACCTACAGAAGGCCTCAAACTATGGAATTAACCTGCTTTGAATACAGCAACTGTGGGAACATACAAATCCTCACCCATGGAAAGGATGCACTTTTGCAATACTGTACTAGACTACGCATTTCTTCACCATTTTACTATCCGACTCGAGGAAGCAACATATGCATTCTTATTCCGTTGTATGTATACATTTATCTTAATGTTTTATTGATTACATTATCGTGCTTACCTTATAGTGGCGTTTTTTATATTCACCGGAAATGCTAAAACCTCAAATTAGCAACAATACAATCCTTAAGGTGCAGTGGAAATGCTGGAGCCCAAGTCAGTTATTTCCTGCTGAAATAAGCAGAGGCAATTGCCATATTTATAGCAAAGAAATTCCACATTCACATTGCGTGCAAATTTTAATCTATCCAAAGGACCACTGTTGACTTCCCCACAAAGTGGTACTAATTTTATCCCAGAGATGATGGGCCAAGTCAACCCCAAAACATAATTTGATTGTGATTGTAAGCTGCTCGCTCAATCGTTGAACCACCAGGACATATAAACCCGTATTAAAGCAGAGCCAACGGCAAGTGTCTAGAATCGTAAGAGCAGCAGAAGAAATATCCACACTGGCTAGTACATCTGCCTCACTACTGCTGCTGCTTGCGCAGCTCGAAGCCATGAATCCGTGGGAACTACATCAACTGCAGACACATTCCAATCACGGGCCCCAACCAATGTGCCCTGCAGCAACACGAACGATCATTAACTTCACAGATTTCCCACGGTCGCATCCAGAATTGCATTATTTTCAAATATGCCAACAATGCAACAGAGTGCTGTTATCGGTGATGAACGTATTCTGAACTTTGGATAACTGAATTTACTGATGAGTACTTGTATAGTGGACTGTGAGAGCGGATCGTAAACAAGGTTCTCCCGCTCAATCAAACGGTCAGGGTCAAATGGGGTGAGGTAGGATCCAAACGCCAGATTGGGAAGGACCAATCGGAGGGTTCCGCAAGGTGGCCGGGGATTGGACAACCCGGCCACGAACAGGTATAAAAGCCAGAGCGCTGAGAGCTCTTGGCCAGTTCTGCTACACGAAGACCCAAGTCGGCCGAAGACATCTAGGACCCTGGACCAAGCCCTCCAGCCCTTATCAGGGCTAGGGCTCAGTGTAACCAGCGGTCGGGGAGAGATCCCCTAGGTCCAGCCAGAGGACGCTGGGATAGCAGGGAGATTAGAGAGCCTGCAAGGTCCGGAGGCTGCACCTCCTCAGGGTAACGATGAGGGGACCATATACCCATTTGTGTGCTAGAGACTGTATTAATACAATAAACAGTGTGTGCCATAAAAAAGTTTAGAAGTCCGTCCTTTCAACACACTTGTAATTTCGACTCAAGGCCGCTGTATTGGGTCCAGTGATTGTGTTGTGGGTAAACACAGCTCGTTATGATTGCTGTCATGCCTCCCATTCCCAATGAAATGTCTCTTCCTATCATTTATCAGCACCTCCGATTAGCACGTTTGGTTTCATACGATACGAAAGAAGTTCAAAATACATACATTTATTTAGTTATCCAGGGAACCACGAATCTCCACTTTTTCATGAGGGTTCGTCATTAATATGCAAGGTCAATTACATTGAAAGGAGCATTTTATATCCGGGAGAAAACTAAAGTACCCAAAGAGAATCCACATGGGAGACTTAAAACGTAGATGGGTTCACAATGTAGATGGGTTCACAAGAATACTTGCTATATTGCAATATCCTCACCACCTTGCAGCCTCAGTGTGGGAGTATCACAAACCTGTAATCCATCCTTTGTCTACAAAGCCCTGGATTACACAATTATGCTCTCCTCCGAATGGCTTTGAGACACTCGTGACATATTGAGTGCAACACCAACACTGAGACATCTTGCATTTTTAGAAGGTAAAATGTATTTATTTTATATTATTTTATTTCTACCTACACGACTTTACCAAAAGAACCAAAGAGTATGGATTCCTGCAGTCAGGAAAGCTTCAAATCAAGATTAAAATGTATCAATTTAAAGCTGTATGTTTAAAACAGGAATGCATGGAACTTAATGACATGATCTGGACCACAACATTTATTACACTTTGAATTACAACCTTGATCAGCGTGGAATGCAATTTCTTTCTTATTTTATAAACACACAGTGCGCTACTCCGAAACAATTATTCATATATGGACAGGGTGCAACCCGGCGGGAAAGGAATCACGCCAAGTGCCCTCAAATATGTATCGTGCTTGACACGGCGTTGTGCCCATCGTACTGGTTGGCTCGTACGCTGGCTTCACACACATACGAGCACAAGTCAAAACTGCTTAAAACCATCATGGTAATTGGCTTTGATAATAAATAAACTATGGCAGCCGAAATTCAAGTTTTAACCGTTTTGGCAGGGCAGAATGAAAATCGCCCTCAAAACCATCCTCATGTGCAGTCACATGCGATCACAATTTGCAAAACTCTAAACATGTTCTAGTGTTTGGTTAAACTTCTCAAAAAATGACCAAACTCCGTGAAGCACTGTCACTATTTCTCAAAATCTTTTTTTTACCAAGCTTGCACAAAAGCCTCTAATTTTGAGACTGACAAAAATCAGACAAGCGGGCAGCCACTGACACTGCCTAAAAGGACAACTGCCACAGGAGCAAGACGGTGATCCTGCGTAATTGACATCGTAACTTTTTGGAAACAGCTCAACTCTGCTGACAAAAAAAATGTTGCATGCGTCGTCAAACGGCCTCCTCGCAGGTACGAATGGGGAGTCAACAGCGTCCTGTGCACTGGTCTTCATACCTGCGATGAATGGGGTCTACACGGCACGCTCTCATGGACCACCATGACAACTCCGTGTGCAATCAGACCTGCTCACAACCATGGACTCGAGACACAAGTGGTTGCGATTTTGCTGAAATTAAGTTAAGGACAGTGTAACACGCAGTGCAATATCAAGGCAAAGTACAGAGGGACCCGGCATGCCGCCGTGCTGCCCGAGGCAGGAGTTCCGCCCGCAGCCAATATCATGCCTGGCTTGGTTGTATACGTGTTTACACAAACGTGTAAACACAAACGTGTAAACACGTGCACAACTTCCAGCTGTGTCCACCAGCATGTATACGGAGCGTTTTATATAAAACATTATTCAATATGGAACAAAAAGGCTTTTATTAAACATTGATGTTTTTGTCTATAAGGTTTGCCAAACAGGTGCGCTTCTATGTAAACAAGCCAATGAGCAGAGCAGCAAAGCCACTGAAGTTCATGAAGAGAATGTGATTGAATGTGGGTTTTGGAAAACGCACTGGTGCATGGACACTGTATTCACTTAAGCAACCGTAGCAAATTTAAAACGGGATGGTAACTGGAGTGGGTGCGCAAGAGGCCTTTACAGCAAAGGACAGAGTGGTCAAGTTAAAACATATGGCAACAAAGCATGTGCAAACAACTGTTAACAGTGTTAAACAGAATTCCTGCTTTGGCAAATGTTACAAGGCTGTGTTAAGACTAAATTACACCATTCTCTACAGCTACATACATTGCAATATAATCGCTAAGAGTATGGTTAAGATTAATCTATTTACTTTGTTATTCTTTTTGCCATTTGGCTATTTTCTATATGTAATCACACAAAGGCTTACCTAACACCATCATGTGCCAGACTCCTTTAAACAACATGTGCTATTAACAGCCAACGGAAGCCGACTTAAAATCGACCTCCACAGCAATACAGATGCTCCGTCTCAGACTCCACGAGCTACTCTCATAAGGGCTCAAGGTCCCAAAGGTGACGTGCAGGTATAGGGGTTCAGGTTAGACACATGGTGAGCTTGGGCGTTGAGGTTATAAGAAGGGTTAGCATTTGGGCTAAGTGCACAATTGGGGCAAAGCGAAAGGTTAGGTGCAGTGTTGTGGTCAAGGTGCACAGTTTGTGCTCAGCATAGGAGTAGGAGTTCCAGTACAGGTTCATTCATATGGCCAGCCATTGGAGTCAAGTGATTGTTAAGTGCTAGGGAGATGACACAAGCAGCTGTTATGCCAGTGGATTGCCGTAATTCCAGTGGATTGGCGGCAAGCCCGTGTTCCCATTTCATCCTCCCCCATCCCCACACGGAGCTGGCAAACACTCACGATCGCACTTGTGTCGCTAAGATTAAAGGTAGACGCAACCCAAATAAACCAACAGCTCTTACTTTGTGGATACACACCAAAGCGGTGTGTCCCAGGTCATCCAACGCAATCGTGCAGTGTTATACACAAAACGCTTTAAAGTAATGGTCAAGCATGCCACTATAGATCTAGTGCCAATGGCACATTGGTGTTGTAAATAAGTGTATGGGAGTGATGTTACTAGTGTACATTTTAACCCTTTCCCATTCTGAGAGGTCTGCAAGTTGCAGGGTGGGTCTTGTTCACCGCCGAATCTCGGAACGCGTAAGCGGTTACAGTAAATTTGATTTATAGGCGTAGCGCTGCTGTTTTTAAAGACATTGTACGTACTCATCGCAGAGAATTGTAGCGACAGGACCGCACTCAATGATAGCTGGCGCCAAACTGTGCCACATGCCCTCCCGTGTGGCCTTTCACTTCCAATTCCGTTCGAAATGCATTCCTTTCCGATGACGTACACGTATGATGGGAATGGGAAAGGGTTGTGTATTTTCTCAATAATGTAGCTTTAAATTCACGACAGACTGCCTGGGACACGCCACAATCTACAAAAGATATTCATTTATTTTAGATTGCAAATTTCATTTTAACCCAATCACTTTGCCTCTACCCCCTGAGAAAAAAAGCCTAGCCCTATTTATGCACACCAACGTCATCGTATTGTGAGAGATTATCTTCACCTCCCTACCCCCTCCTCCTTCCATATCGCCCAGGCAGAGTGTTCACGATCCCAACGGCTACTTGGTTGCCTGCCATATGATGATGCCCACGATGGCCACAACAACCGCCAGCATGACAAGAATGATGCAGATCTTCTTACGCGATGCGGTCTGCCGGGGAAGAGGGGGGGGGGGGGTGCAAAGAGCGGATGCACACGCACAAACTTTAACACACACCTGGACACATTCCCCAACCCTTACCTCCAGAGAATATCCAGGTGTTATTGGTTTGGGTTGCGAGGTGGTCAGAGAGAAAAGACAACAATTGAATCCATTTGTAGTGTGAGAAGTCACTGCCTTGTATATATTCTCCAGGTATATTGCTGTTTCCTTTCTTAGGAATACTGATGAATGGAATGGCTGAGCATTCCAATGCAGAACCCTGCTGGAAATGTGAAGTTTTCCTAAGAGGGCATTATCATATTATCATAATCACCGTAATATCTGCAATCTACTGTCAGATGAAGATACAGCAAGGCTTTATTGCGTAATAAAACGACATTAACATGAGTGGAAGAGGCAGTGATTTTAATTTGTGAGCTGGCATTAAGATCAGTGTGGCTCGTAACAGGGTAGCTTAAGCAACTACTATGCCCATCTGCATATATCTCCGCATTGCTACCGACACTGATTTTTGGCTGAGATGATCTAGGGGAGACCAAAGTCTTATTCACATTCCAATTGCCATTGCTTTACATCAAGGGCCAGAATTTCAACTTATAGTTACACACACACTGGCCCACAAAGTTGATTTGCTAGCTGATGAAAACTAGTACCATTGTCTTATCTTTCACATGTTCTGTATTCTTTCAATTTTGTACGGTATTTGCAGCATAGACGTTGTATTGTCTTTCTTGTACTGTCCTCACTTTTGTACCATCTCGTCTGTAGTATAACTGAATGTTTTAAATTTGTGCCGTGTATTGTTCTATTTTGTCCGACTAATTTTTGTACCCATCACATTAACCATAGAGGTTTTTTTGGGGGTTAGATTGCGTAAATATACGTGTCGTTAAAACCCGCCACCACCCGACACAGCTAACTAGCAAGTCACTAGTATAGCACACCGGTGTGTTGGAGAGCCAAGCCAAAACATTTACAATCCGAGTACGACGTTTCGCCAGTAATTACAACTAGCTTCATCAGGCGACAGCCAGATTTGTGGATACGTCCACCTGTTTCGTTCCTTATATAGAGGCGTAAATGTGGTGACCACACTTCTGCGCTTTTGCGCAAAGTGTGGGGGGGGGGGATTAATGTGCCAACGTACATTATGCATGTGCATGCGAGCCCTTCTAACCAAAAACAAACCTCTACAGTGAGGGACAAAAGTATTTGATCCCCTGCTGATTTTGTACGTTTGCCCACTGACAAAGAAATGATCAGTCTATAATTTTAATGGTAGGTTTATTTGAACAGTGAGAGACAGAATAACAACAACAAAATCCAGAAAAACGCATGCCAAAAATGTTATAAATTGATTTGCATTTTAATGAGGGATTGAGAGGGGGTCAAATACTTATTTCCCTCATTAAAATGCAAATAAATTTATAACGTTCTTGACATGCGTTTTTTCTGGATTTTGTTGTTGTTATTCTGTCTCTCACTGTTCAAATAAACCTACCATTAAAATTATAGACTGATCATTTCTTTGTCAGTGGGCATACGTACAAAATCAGCAGGGGATCAAATACTTTTTTCCCTCACTGTATTATGGATGATATTGGTCATCACATTACCCATTTCTAAATGCCATATCAGGGCAGGCATTAAAAAAATGCCATGGCATTATCATAATATGTGCATGTAGTTTGCAGATTAGAAAAGTGGACTTTTGCAAAAGAGATTTCATGCGTTTATTGTATGTTTAAAGAATTGATTTCCATCCCCATTGAAAAAACTTCTCAGCATATGGCACAAAACACTTCTTTCCAGTTAACAGGCAAGGGTGCAGGAAACAATGCGGTCAAATGAATCGGAACGCCAAACAGAAATTGTAAAAAGAAACCAATTCAACTGAATTTAATGAGAATAGCAATACGCATATTCCCACACCTCCATTTGGCTACATACTGTGTGAAAGAAGTTCAACATACATACATACATATTATACTTCTTACGTGTTAGGGGGTGACCTGTGGTAACATCGTAGCCTGACACGTGCAGCACTGGTACTCATGTTGAGGAAAATTCCTATTTTTTACATTTATTAAATATTTACGAATTTGAAAAATCTACATCAAGTGGAAAAAACCTACAACACAAGATCAAAACGCGAAGACGCTGTGCAAAGGAATGTTGATAATTGTAGGGCGTCAGATTCACAGAGGTATAACAAGATCATGCAAGTCTGCAACGCGCATGAAAACATTGCAATCATGAGACGCCCAGAGATGAGGGATTAGCCAGTCAAGAGAGTGGGGAGTGAGGGGGCTGCTGGGCAGCCACTGCCACATGACAGGCTGACACAAAGAGAGCCCCTGCCACACCTGGTACTGTGCTGCTCGGCGCAATTGCTGGTTCGCCTGCTCCACATGCACCTCCGCAGTCTCCACGTTCGCCTCGATGCTGTCTGCACGAGGAACGCAGTAAGGGTTACAGCCGGGCAAAGCTGCACACACCTGCAATCCAGTGACTTGGAGAAGATTGGTACATCACGTAGGTTTGCAAAACTTCCAAACCTGTTGGGTGGCAACGTGGCTGAATGGCAGTACAGTAAGCATGTCCATGAACGTGTTGCTCCTCGTGTGAATTCTACCTAGGTGCTCCGACTTCCTCCCACGTGCAAGCCACTCATTAAAGATGTTGGACAAAAATCTGAATGTAAGACTCTCCTGAAAGTCTTGGGAATGAGAGCCTTTCCTCGGAAATAATTGACAGTATACCAATGACTTGGCTTACACTGGGGAGGTTCAATTTAGTGGTGTTTCATTGCAATTAAATGTGGTGTCATCATCAGCCTTGATCATATACTGCTAGGTGAATGCCTCCATCTTATTTATATTTAGCAAAACTTTCCAGCCTTCTTTAAGTTCTTCAATAATTTTTGTGGATAACTTTCACCAATTGCTATGATGGTCATCAGCAAATGTATGCATAGTCTATATTTTTGTTTATTATTTATTTTTCCAATCAAGGAAAATGTTAATGACAGCTTTGGTGAGAGGCAATCTTCTTGTAGGACACCTCTCCAATTTGAATGTTGCTGCTTTAATCCTGCCATCCAACTACAAGCTCTTCTAAGGTATAATGTACCAGTCTACTTACAATGGTACCATCACATTAACCATGTTATTTGTAATCTAAATTATTTTTAAATCTTAAAACCACAGATGACAGCTCGAGACCAGCAGGAAAATGCCTGTGGCTTATTAATCGATTGCCTGAACAGAAAGAGCACCCAAACAAGTCAGCCTGGTCACTTGCAAGGTGGTTAAACTGCCTGGCAGGGTCAACAATGGTGCTCCGTGTACATATGGATCCTCACCAATCATGTCCCCCTGCTCATGGATCATGGTTCCCAGGTCCTTGAAGATCTGGTTGATGTCCATGATGTCAGCCTGGCAACCCATGAAATACCATCAGATGCCGCTGGCCCACTTTCCTCTGCAAGGCCTCAGGAGATCTTCCATAACGATATGTTTAGTTTGTTTAGTTTGTTATTGCGTAAAAACAAGACAAAATTCACGTGTTTACGATTTCCAGTAAATAGCACAGGGTTAATTGGCTAATTGTATGCAATTAAAGCATGATATCTATGATATGTTAAAGGAAACATCCGTTACGGAGTTCCTGCATGATTGCAATAAGTTGGCAGAAAATTTAATTTAATTTTTATAAGATAAAAACCATGAGAAATTATTACAAAAAAGTAATGTAAGAATCAGTGACCAGCGATCAAGCACCTCAAGCATTTGGATGGCCACCTCCCTCTCTTTGATCTCCTCCAGGTCCTCCTCTGTGATACCCTCATCCTGCGCCTGTGACTGTAGCGTGCGATCCTCAAACCTGCAAACATACACACGTGTAAACAGGAGGTCATAGGTTCAATTTTCCTCCGGGTCCTCCGGTTCTTCCCTCCACATTTACAATCGTGCGTTTAAGGAGTATTTGGCTGCTATACATTTCCATGTGATAAGCCACCTCATCATTGAGCTGTCATTTGTGGCCAGGTCGCTTCTGAAGAGATATACAGCTCGTGGGCCTCACCTGGTAAAATCGAAATGTTTCTTAGTTTTTATTGTTTGAATATGCATATATGAAGATGCACACACACACCGTATACACGACCATATAAACAAGAAGAATCGCATGCCACATGCAAGCACACAAAACATAAGTGTCCACAAGCACACGAGCTTGCACATCCACATGACCACACACACGTGAACCCACACGCAACCATACCATCACACGCACAAACGCGGGCAGACACGCACAACCACACAATCACATACACTTCGGCATTCAGACATGCAAAAGAACATACATCCACCCACGTAACAAAACAGACAAAAGACACATGGACAAACAAAACCCCCTTTTGAACCATTGTCGTTAGCACTTCTGCTGCAGCGGCATTTGCACTACGGTTTCACAGTGAACTCTTGCTCATTCAGGGCAACATAGTTATTGTTTAACCATGTATAAAAGGGGTGTAGACGGAGAACGTGTTGTTCTGTTTTGATCATTTCTTCAATCGGTTGACTTGCTGATGTTTCGGTCACATGGGCACCAAGCTACTAACCCTTAAATAGTGACGAGCTGATAATACCATTGATAATACCATTGGATAATACCATTGGATAATAATGAAACGTTTTGTTTACAGTTGCCAAGCACAGGCCTAAAAGGCCCAAAATGTAAAATGGCCAGCGACAAACAGCATGTGTCTTGAATGAAGTAAGGTTATAAGTTAGGAAAAGACCACGAGCAAGAAATCTGCATAGTTAATCCACAATCTGGTTTAACTAACCAAACAGATTAGAGTTAACAGTACAAACGTTGAAAAGCTAGCCAGTTGCTCTCAAAACACTCATAAAAAGGCCGTCGCTGATTGGCCGAGGTCTGCCGAGTCCACTTAGGAGCACTCCGATTGGCCGAAATCAGCAGCCGCGTGATATTGTAAACATATCGATAATCTAAATCTATCGTTAATAGAAACAATGGGACCCTATGGGAGGAGGATCATTTATCGATGGAACCACTGTACTACGGCTGTCATGTGCACGTGTTCCAAAACACAGCACTCAGTGTGGCTGCGAGCGCTGCTGCCGTGACCAGCCAGGTGGCGGAAGGAGTGCGGAGCCGTGCCCACCCCACACGCCAACCTTTGGATCCTCACCGAGAGCCGAACAGAATTAGACAATATCTGTTTGTGTGTCGAGTTAGGCTTCTCTTGCATGCGTTTGCTTTAATACACTGCATACCACTTCAAAGACAGTTGTGGAAAACGCACCTAAACCGCGGGAAAATATGATCATGCGTAAAGCCCGGCTTGAGCGGCAAGTTTGTGCATCTGCAACATCGTACTGTGCGGAAACACAAACCATCGTATTTATTATCAGAGACAACGAAAAGAGAAGACAATGGAAGTGAACGACAGAGGTTATCTATCATGATTTAATATTTATTCTTCACAGAATGTTGTGCAGGTCATGTAATGCTACTCTAATAGATAACACTCAACTGTTCAATTGGGAGACGATAAAAGAGTTTGCCAATTATATTCTGGCCTGCAGTGAAGCTGCCAAACATTGTACAAGCTACAGCAACACTTTACATGGCTGGCAGAGATTTTACTAAACACATCTGCACAAAGAAACGACAAGTAATGTTACACTGTACCACCCACACATCTAGCATATAGCAAGCACAAACATTACTCCACACATTTAATTCCTTATGAACAATATTTATCCCTTATAAATTCTCCTCCACTATTAAAAAATCCACTAGCATTTGAAGCAAAAATGTTACGTTATTGTCTGAAGTTTTCGTCTTGAAAAAAAAAATTCCCACTACTTCAGATTTCACAAAACAGAACCAGTTACGTCTGTGTTTTAAATCACCACTAAAGCAACACAACATGGCTTACTGTTCAGCACAAAGTTCCCAGGAACATTACCACGAATGTGTTTCATTCTTTTTCATTACATTTATGTAAAAACACCCATGGATGCGAGCTGGAAGAGGCAGCGCCCAACATAATTCCAACTGCTCGCTCACGCACGAGCTAGCCCAGTGCTCGCTGCTCAAAGACCTCGGGTGGCTTCAAAGTGCCGCCCTTCCAGATGGCTGTGTTTATGAATTATTCTGAGCAGGGCGTTAGCAAAACCAAAACCAGACACGAAGGCCGATCGACACGGAGCACTCCACACAAGGAGGTGGGTGGTAGCGCACCCCTGCCTCCATTATTCCTTTTTTACAAAAAGCAAACAAAGACAGAAAAAAAATACTGAACAAATATTTACGTACATAGCACGTCACTGTGCGGTTGGGTGCATTACGTTAATGTTCCCTTAATGTGTGGTCTAGGAATAAAAGTTTGGTTTACATACAAGTTTTTGTGTTTATAGTTCACGTGTTATCAACGGCATTACTGAAACAGTTTCGGACATTGTGTTCATTATGGGCCCCATCACTTTCACGATGTCAAGAGTGGTCTTGTGATGCACGGTGTGTGCTGCTGCAGCCGACACAGCTGGGCCATGCACACACATGCCTGTTTATCAAGGAAGCAGTATAATCGTTATATATTGCAATGTAAATCGCCATGGCAATATGTGCATGCTCGTGCAGTGGCATACAATGCAGCTGGCTGCATATGCTTGCAATTGTAAAGAGAGTTCCCCAATGGGTGTAATGTTCTGCTGACGGGTCTGCACTCACCCTTCCCCGACATTCACCAGGTGTCCATCCCGTGTTGCAGTTTCGTCCAAATAGTTTCCCTGATTGAGCCACACGGGAGGAAGGGGGCAAAGATGGCATTGCTCATGACGAATTGGCGACTTTGAATCCCAACCGCTGCCCTTAAAGCGAACTCTCTCACTTGCCCGTAGCATTGCCAGCGTGCGGAGCGGCGCTATAAACACCGCCTCCCTGCTCCATCCGCAGGGACTGCACTGCTCCAGAAATGGCATCTTTTAACCATGGGACTTTGCACACACTGCTTTAACACAGCAACGGGTTTCAAGTAGATGATAAGGAAGCATTGTCACCACTCAGTGTTATTGACGAGGGAATCTAAGGAAGAGACAGTGTAAGCAATCTAAAGTCTACAGATTCAGTTTTAAATAATATAATTGATAACAATAATATAAAATTATTCATTTAAAATGTTGTGCAGAACGTTAAGTTCGTCAGTTTGTATTTTTTCAATGTTAAACTACTTTTTCTTGTTTCACATGACTTATGATTTTGTATAGAAATTGTATCAAATCACTTGCTCAAGTGAATGACTTAAAATATAATTACATGCTGCCCATTATGCACAATTACACACAAGAAAACATTCAGCACCGTCAACACTGCTTTGTTACAGAACACCAAAATGTAGACTAAAGATGATTTTTAAAACGGAGCCTGAAAGGAGTCAAGTCAAAATTATTTGCTGCTCAAATGAGTGTTGACGCAGTAGACATCTCCTGTTATCATCACTAAGCCAGTGGCAAAAATTCCATGTTCCAGTGGCACTGACAAGTGCCTCCATAAAATGCAACCCAAACAAATAATAGCGACAGTGTGCCAGACTGTCCGACAATTGCAATCAGTCTGAAGCTTAATTTGCGAGAAAAAAAGAAACCAGTTCTAGCCACTAACACCACCAGCGCCCTCTAGTGTCGCCACCACTGCATGGACAAACTTGCATGGGAGAAATGTCAGTGACATGACCAACTTTTAATTATTTTTTCACATGAACCAAACTTTGGGCACGACTTAGATAGGACAGAATGCAGAGCGAAGTGATACATCTGCAAAATATAATTTGTGTTTTGAGATGTCGTCCTTTAAGAATAATAACATTCGGAAAGCATGGATGCCTGTATGTGGGTGTGGGGTATGTAGATTGCAGGCGTGCGGTTGTGTATATTGCGCATGTGTGTATAGGGCATATCTGCAAGGATCATGATTTGATTCCAGAACCAACGTTTTTTTGTTGTTGCAACTATGGTGAAAGTGCCACCTCTGGTGACTGCAAATGCAACTGCTTATAAGGGCATTCAAAGTGGGCGGGGCAGCCAGCGCAAATGTAGGAGACAATGGGGGAGGGAGAGGGCAGAGACAGGGGGAAAGAGGGGGGGGGAGCTGAAAGCAAGGGCGCAGTCCAAGTGTGTTAGTCAATGGGAGGAAGAAGAGGGTAGAGATACGGGAGAGAGAGGGGGTGGGGTTGAGATAGGGGGAGATAGAGGGAGGTACAAGCAGTGTGTTAGACAATGAGGGGAGGGAGGGGGCAGAGACAGGGGGGGAGAGAGAGGGGGAGGGTAGAGATAGGGGAAGAGAGGGGGGTAGAGATGGGGGGGGGGGGCATTGCACCTCGCTACACACATCCACACGGACGGTAGAGGTTGACAAGAAAACACAAATCAAGTCATAACCCAAAGTGGTTGATGACATCTTTCCAATGATGCCGCGTTTAAAACCGTCGTCTCGGTTGAAATTGTGTCCTTGTCTGTATATATGGATGGCTTTGTTAACGAATCTTTGTTGATAGCCAGTTGGCTTGCAAAGTACTTTCGTCTTAGAGAAATACATTTCGTGTGAGCCAGTCGCATTAAAGTAATGATCAGCCACGGCAGCAGTATTGGTCCTGCCGTGTTTCAGATCTGCCTTATGTTAACGAACACGGTCCGAGACATGTCGTTTAGTTTCCCCAATGTAACTGCTGCCACAGATACAGCTTAGTTTGTAGACGCCAGGATATTGCATGTCAGGAATCTTGTCCTTCACAGATGGGATCAGATCACGAATTTCATGCACCATGTTAAATCGGACCTGGATCTTGTGTTTGTTCAAGATTTTGGAAATATTTTTGGTAATCCCTGCTATGTAAACCAAGGTGATGGTTTTGAATGGATCTTCAGATGGCTCCTTCCTCAGTTGGGGTGATGGCTTTGCGGATTGTGTATGGTAGTCAGACTATCCATTCGCCTTGAGAGCCTGGTGTACGTGTTTGAGTTCACTAGTCAAGTGTTCAAGGTCGGAGATACATTGAGCTCGATGGTGTAGCGTTTTGATGAGGGAATTCTTCTGGGATGGATGGTGTTGGGATCAGGTTTTAGGTAGGCATCAAGTATGGGTTACTTTCCTGTCGACAGAGTGGCTCAATGAGCCATCTGGTATCTATTTGATTAGGACATCCAAGAAAGGTAGCATGCCATCCTTTTCTTCCTCCATGGTGAATTTGATTGCTGGGTGTATGGAATTTATGTGGTTGAGGAACTGTTTCAGAGCCAGTCGGCCATGTGGCCAGATGACAAACGTGTCATCCATGTATCTCTTCCACAAGGACGGGCATAGAGTGGAAGCCTGGATGGGGTCCGTCTCAAATTTTTCCGTGAAAATATTTGTTTGTCGAATGTTCCATTCCAGGTGAAGTATGTATTGGTGAGGCAGTGTCTCACCAGAGCTGGTACATCAGCATGCAGTCCTTGTTGGACCAAATCTTCAATTATTGCAATGGTATCGGGTACAGGAACTTTGGTGAACAAAGAAACTACATCGAAACTAAGGAGCAAATCACCTGGGGACAGAGAGATGTCTTTAATTGACGATACCAGGTGAGCTGAGTTAAGTACAGAAGAGGTGGTCTTACCAGTGAATGGCTGCAAGTTCTCAGACAGATATCGGGCCAGTTTGTAGGTGGGTGAGCCAGTGGTGGAGACGATGGGACGAAGGGGTGGTACCTTCTTTATGGATTTTTGGTAAGACATCTAATCTGGGTGGTCTAGCAGCAGAAGGTTTTAAGGAGATCCCGTTTGGTCTGTTCAATTAATGAAGCTGAATCCGTGATAATACTGTTAGTTTTTGTAAGGAGGCTGTTGGTGGGATCTCTTAATTTTTGTGTAGCTACCATTATTAAGTAGGTCCAGAATTTTGTTATTGTACGTGTTTCTGTCCATGATGACCGTGGCATTGCCCTTGTCGGCTGAGAGGATGACGGTATCCTCCCTCTTTTTTAATTGAAATAACTCAAAGCGCCCCTCCTTACTACTGATGTTGCCGACTGGTATTTTAGCACTTGTGAGGGTTGCAGCGATTTCAGATCTTGTGACGTCTGCAGCGATGTGTCTCAAACCCTTAAGAGCTACATCGACCTGAGCAATAATGTCATCCACTGGTATGTGTTTGGGGGTGACTGCGAAGTTCAATCCTTTAGCCAAAACCGACTTTAGACCATCAGAAATTGGGCTATTACTCAGATTAATAACAACCTTGTCAACGTCTAACTTTTTAATGTGTAGATCTGGTTTCTTCTTTCAGATTATCTTCACATTTAGCTGACATTGTAGTGGCTGATGAAGCGGTCATGTTATCTACATGTTCCCAATGAGATGTAGACATTTTTTCTGTGAATGTTAAGTGTGATTTTAAGAGTGTCTTATCTACATGATCCAGTTCAGTGCGGAGCAGTCTAATTCTCGAGATCAGGGCCAAGCTCATCTGTTGCCGAGCCCCTAATCCAATTGCTCCACTGGCTTCCATTCCAATCCTAAGCTAACTACAAACTCACTCTCACCATTTTCAAGAACCTTCACAGATTTACCCAAGCCAACTTCTCCCTTTTAATTCTTCTGAATTCCACCCCTTCACACATTCACTGCTCAAGGACCTAATGCCTTCTGGCAAAAACCTCAAATGCCCACTGCTCAATGAGAAGCTAGTCCTACTCTGCTTCTGCCACAATGGTCTGAAATTCCCTACCCATGGGAATTCATGCTGCCTACTCCCTGCCCCAATTAAAGTCCAGTTTCAATACTATCATCTTCTTCACTGCCATTGACCATTTCCTATTAATAAAATAATTTCAATCGTACCTTACTTACAAAATATAAATACCTCCATTTTTGTGGCTGTGATGCACGTCCCACTCTTTCAACAATGTATTGCACTGTATCTGTACTGCAGGAGTGAGTGTGTGGGGGCAATGAAATGGGCATGCGTTGGGCCATGTGGCTGATGGTCTCACCCCCTGGGACTGCCGCGAGTTGGCCCGGGCACGCGCCACGCTCTCGCGCTCCCGCTCGGCAGCGCGTCGCTGAGTTGTCTGGAAGTTGTTTAGCGCCGTTGAGAACTCGTTCATCAAACGATCCCGCTGGATCTTCCTGTGCCGCTGTGTGCCGAGCGAGGATGACATGACCACCGTAATCATGGACATCTGTGTCAACTTTCCATCACTCAATTTCCGATTAACATACCCTCATTGTCTTTTTAAATATTTTCTTATTAAACGATAATTCCAGTAAGCAGCTAAGGCATAGCGCCTGCCTTAATATAAATCCCAGCAAAAATCTGGTCCTATACACAGAAATATGCCAGCACAATAATCCATATCCGTATAATTGCAAAAAAACAGTGCATCCATCAAGCAGTATAAATAGGTAAACGAGTAAGTTGACAGACAGGTTGTGTGAGGTGGTGGAGTAAAATGTGGGTATTCCTACTTCTTACAAAATATCTAATTAGCATGGAAGAGTTGACCAAAAACCCGACACAGCTCTCTCGCGGAAGCCCTTCCACCAGCAGTGGTGTCAGCATGCAACTGCATGGGTGCATCTTTGATCTTTTTTAAAGTGTACCATTAGGTCTTATATTGGAATCAACACATGCAAGAATAAGGGACAAAGTGTTTGCTTGACTAAAAAAGTGCAAGTGCTCAGTCGGTTATCTACGACAGGAGCAGTGATACCTTACCTGCTCAGACTGGCTCGAGGGTGTAGGCAATGAGCCCAGGTCCTTTAAGTATTTATTGGTTTCTTTAGCAAGTTGGTTTGCGCTTTGTTGCAGCTGTTGCCTGCAAAAAAAACAAGGTTTTTAACCTGTAGTTTCACATTTCTATTGCACTGATGAACGTATGAGAAATGAATGCTTCAAAGAAATCTGTGACACCAACATGTTTCAGGAAAAAAAACTGTGAAAATATGAAATCTGAGATTAATATTATGCATGTACAATTGTTTCACCAATGACCGTGCAATTAAAGGAAAGCTGTACTAACAAATCAGACATCTCTTCTTGGCATGTACTGATGCTGTGTTCATGGGTGAGGCGTTGATGAACAAGACTTTTAAGTGAGGGTGATGTCAAAGTGTTCTAGAAACATCACTGCATTGATGCCGTATTCAAAGTGAATTATTATACTTGTTGATACAAGAACGCCTGACCGAGTCACAAAGACTCTTTCTGGAAGGTCCTATGTTTTCACAGAGGCGGTGACGAATGTTGTTTCTCGGTTAATGAACTTGCAAATACTTTTTCGAATGTGGCAAATTTGGACCATGATGTTGGCACACAAAGGCCAACTGTACTTTGAATTATGTCACAGAATCTTTAATTTTCACTAGGAAGAAGGTGGTGCATATTTTATGTAGGGTTGTTAAAATCATCTGATTTTCAGAGCAAGTAATCGATTCTCAAAACGGTTACCAGTTATCATTAGACAAACGTCATTTAATGGATAATACACCTGCAGTATTAACCAGGGCAGCCTGTCAGATTCGAACTGTGAACATCTGAAACTAGCGGTAAGAGCGCTACCACTCAGCCAAGTCACCACCAATGAGGGAATAACATAACTATAGTTCTAAAATGATGTGCTTGACAATGAATTTAAATACTCTTCTCACAAACGATGGTTAAAATCGCAGCAGACAACCCTTTTTATGCTATGTCTCCTCTACATCTGCACAATGTGTTCAGAAGTTATAATAGTGACCATATTGAGTAGGCCACATTCAATACACAATCACTGTGACCAGAGAAAAAGGTACGTACAGACGCTCTAACAGATGTGTGGTATCTTGTGCGGTCCCCAGCTGACTGACCAGCTTCTGGATCTGAGCAGCTGTCACACACGAAGAGGCAGAATAACAACAACAAAACATTTAACACAAAACACAGCCCAAGAAACAAACATTGTAAGTAAATGTATCCAATCTGTGTCCCGCGGTGTTAGAGATTAGGTTAATTTTTGAATAGCGACAAAAAGGGATTTGAAAGTGAATTGCAGGTATGCCACCTTAGCCTGCTATAGTGATGTCACGATGATGAGATATTGGTTTAAAACGTGCAGCAATTGTACTGCAAAGGCATCACTGGAGCATAGACGGTGGCAAACCTTCATGGCATGTTCGTCTTATTTCTCTTTGTAAAAAGACTCCAACTCAAGCTGAACACCTGAGGACACAGCCGAGATAGAAAACCGATTATTTAGGCTGGAAACTCCTATAATTAACATATCTTTGTAACCAAACCTAGATGAAAATCTGAGAGGCAAATACAGACAAGTCAAAGTGGGTATATGGAGGGAGCAGTCACATATCCGAGTGGTGAGATGTGCAGACAATGTGCAGCGACACCCACTGTTCTGCGAGATCTTCTGGATGTTGGTGCTGATGATCTGGGCGAGTCCGCTGAAATCCAGGTCGCCATTGGTGGCCTGACGGTACGAGGTGTAACCCCCATCGCTGCCTGGAAATCCTGACATAGCTGGGGAATGAAGAGCTGGGGGGAGAGAGCGTCGGTGGCAGCGTTAACTGTCGTCCTGTCAAAAGTAGCACTGTCATGCAGAACAACTTACTTCAGCCACGCCATTTGAGCACGTCCCCTTCTTCAGACCACAGCTCCCAAAAAGAGTGAACAATTTAGATTTGTGCTATTTTACTAAGTACTCTATATTTATCATTAACGAGTAAAGTCATATCACACAAACAATTAAATTCAGACCTTTTGCAGCTATCAGGGTACCGTGTAGTATCAGAGAACAACACCAAAGAAATGGGTCAAAGAAATCCGTGATCAAAAAGTCTGGGCAGAGAATGAAAGAAACCATCAAACCCTGAATGAACCAACACTGGAAATAACCCATGTGGTGAAGAAACACAGCCAGAAGAAGTGTGCTTCACAATATGTGAGCTCGTGTTAGGTTTGGTTGGACACAATAAACCCATTTTCAGAAATTACTGTGCTAGAGCGCAGACCACTTTTCAGCACCCCGTACTTCTTCAATCGCTTCAAAAGGCCTAGTCAAGTGTTTGTTTGCATGTCAAACCAAAATTCTCGTCAGTGCTGATCTGAGGTGGAATTTTCACCATAAATCAGCTAGCATCCATACGGTACGAAAGAAGCTCAACGCACACATTTAATACGTAGGCTTTCGCGACCAATATCAATAATAGAGCTTTTTGGGTTAGATTGCGTAAATATATAAATGTGTCATTAAAACCCGCCACCACCCGACACAGCCAACTAGTAAGGGTTGTCACGTAATCAGAACGTGCCAATTCGTCACTAGTACAGCACTAACCGGTGTGTTGGACAGCCAGATTGTCAATGTTGTGGCTTGGCTCTCCAACACACCGGTTAGTGCTGTACTCGTGACGAATTGGCCACGTTCTGTTTACGTGACATCACAACCCTTACTAGTTGGCTGTGTCGGGTGGTGGCGGTTTTTAACCACACATTTATATATTTTCGCGATCGAACCCAAAAACCTCTATTATGAATACACATATAGCCACCTCACATTGGCTTTATAGTATCTAATGTTACACTGTAGATCATATACTATATGTTGCTTATACAACTGGATGAAGTCCTCAGCGCAATGCGAGTTGTGGTAGAAACATTTCAGAGAATGTTGTCTTTGCCTAAAACTCGCCGCTACTTTAAACAAGTCGAGTACTGTACCGTAATGTACCAGTGAACAAGCTGGGTTGAGGGATGACATCAACTTCACTGAGGGCATAGGAGCTGGGAGGAGGGCCGTGAGAGTGTCAACCAGGATACACACCACTCCGAACCATGACGACAGCTCACGCGCACTTACGAAACTTAACACGCAAGCACTTTTACTCTTAACAGCGGCAAACCGAATGCCGTGCTAAACAAAAGTGCTTTACAGTACTGTATAACACAAGCACGGACGCCAGGTGGCAGCCTTTCACCGTTTGTCATTGAATCTAAACACAAGCAATGATTAGCCATGTCATATATTGCGGGTAATTGTACCAACAGCGTGTACAGTACTTCGTCAAATGACTGTAGAAATCGTTTTTTATGCTTTGTATTTCGTCATCTCTCGCAATCATGGGACGTGGTAAACCTGAGCATCCGTACACAACTGGAATATACAAAATAACTGAAAACACATATAAACCAGTGCTGCAGATATTCTGAGGAAGGCCACTACATGAGATGTAACCGATTGGACTGTACTGCAGATGATTTTCGAGTCATTCGCCTCTTGAGACTCTACGGTATGTTCTCGTTGTTCAGCAGTGCATGTAAAATAATAATAGTGCATGTGTTATTTAGGTTGATGGTGGCAAATGTCTCATCTTGTTTCCAGCCCAACGCCAATATAGCCCCTTACGTTACGTGAAGTGGAAAATAACAGACTGTACCGGTGCAGGACGTGTACACGCGCACGCTGCCATCGTGTACTGACAGACGCGCGTTCCGTGAGCCGCGACTGCACGCGGCGAGACTGCGGATGCCGTGGCGAAGTGACTTTCCACGGGCCATGAGCCAAGTCCCTCCATCGAGACGTGTACTGAATGCCCTATTCTACGTACAGACTACTCTACACACCGTACCGTAAAACAAGTGCCTTGCAATTTACTATACACACATTACTACACATGCTAGACGACACACACAGTACGACAATCCAACACTATAGTGCACAATTCACGCATATTTATGTTTGACTTTTTTCGCACCGTACGTAGCCAACGGTGGGGAAAGGACAACTAAACAAAAAACAGTTTTAAAGAAACGAGTTGTCACTCTAGATGTAAAAGTGCATAGCTTCCTAATGTCGGAAGAGGATCCAGACGGCCGCAGAAGCGCATCTGAAAATGCGCGATGCAGTGACCGTCTTTGATGGTGAGCCAAAAGTCATTGCGAGTATGACCGGAGATCGCGTGATGGTTGATGCCACTTGATGAGATCAGCAAGACAGCCGCGCGCTTGTGGGCAGCAACTTTGTGCAACCGGAAACCAAAATGCAGCTCGGCGAGCACGGGACAGACATGGCGAGATCTTGCAGGAGCCGCCACGGCACGTGACAAAGAGAATGTGGCACGTGACAGAGATTGTGACACGTGACAGAGAATGTGGCACATGACAGAGATTGTGACACGTGACAGAGAATGTGGCACATGACAGAGATTGTGGCACATGACAGAGATTGTGGCACGTGACAAAGAGAATGTGGCACGTGACAGAGATTGTGACACGTGACAGAGAATGTGGCACGTGACAGAGATTGTGGCACGTGACAGAGATTGTGGCACGTGACAGAGATTGTGGCACGTGACAGAGATTGTGACACGTGACAGAGATTGTGGCACGTGACAGAGATTGTGGCACGTGACAGAGATTGCGGCACGTGACAGAGATTGTGGCACGTGACAGAGATTGTGACACGTGACAGAGATTGTGGCACGTGACAGAGAATGTGGCACGTGACAGAGATTGTGACACGTGACAGAGAATGTGGCACATGACAGAGATTGTGGCACGTGACAGAGATTGCGGCACGTGACAGAGATTGTGACACGTGACAGAGAATGTGGCACGTGACAGAGAATGCGGCACATGACAGAGATTGTGGCACGTGACAGAGATTGACACGTGACAGAGAATGTGGCACATGACAGAGATTGTGGCACGTGACAGAGATTGCGGCACGTGACAGAGAATGTGGCACGTGACAGAGATTGTGACACGTGACAGAGAATGTGGCACGTGACAGAGAATGCGGCACATGACAGAGATTGTGGCACGTGACAGAGATTGTGACACGTGACAGAGAATGTGGCACATGACAGAGATTGTGGCACGTGACAGAGATTGCGGCACGTGACAGAGAATGTGGCACATGACAGAGATTGTGACACGTGACAGAGAATGTGACACGTGACAGAGATTGTGGCACGTGACACAGATTGCGGCACGTGTCGTACTAATTTTTTTGCCAGACGTCCCGTAGAGGAGTGAGTTGCAATATCGACCCTTGTCGACACGATGCCACACGCCACCGTGTTGGCTATGCCACGTCTCGATGAATGTTTCGTCGAGCTCCGACATGAAAATTGCAGGGCCTGATTATATTTTACACGGAGTGACCAAACGACATTCTGGTCGAGTCTGGTGCCGAGGCTCCGTAGAGGAGTCGGACACTGGATGCTGGAGTCCGCCACCGACTCACCTGATCCTCCCACAAATGTTGTTGCCTGAGCCCAACCAGCAACTCAGAGTTTCCAGGATTAAGCAGAGTATTGTAATATACACAAATACTGTGTACAGTACACACATTACGATACACAATGCGAAACACAATCATCTACAGTCATATTGTACATTGTACACACAACATAACACAAACACGATTCGTTGTTCAACGAGTTAATGCTCAAATGATCACACTATGTAACAATTTTTGTTCCTGGGTACTAAGTGTTATTTTTTATTGCTTATGCCTAAAAAGTATAGAAAAATGCTATTATTAAATACAAACTTTGCTTTTGTGACCAGGACTTTATGTGAATCAAAGACACAAATGCACACCACGTTTTCTCATTGAAAATAGGTAAATTTCTAAATATCACTGTCCTGGTCACAAAAGCAAAGTTTGTGGGGAATAATAGCCAATTACTGTACTGTTGAGGCATACGCAATTAGGAAATAACACTTACTACCCAGGGACAATTGTCTTTGTTACAGTGCCATCATTACTATGGGGCTAATCTCTTGTTTACAACCACGAGCCAGTGGTGGCATCCCCAAATCCTGCGGTAAGGGAAAGTCGAGATCCACACTTTCATCAGACGCACGACACACGACACAAGCCGGAACCACACCGGGAGTCGATGATTAACCAGCCAGTTCCCGTCTCTCTCGGTCTCTCTCATCCACACACCGTCCACTCGTGTATCCTAAACAGACTGAACAAGTGCTGTTAGGGAGCACCTTTGAAGACCGCGACGGCACAGCACCATGCCCGGCCGCCTTTGTCTCCCGCGTGGCGATGTTTACACACCGCACCAAGGACTCGTTTGGGGCCGAGTCGATCTAGAAGTGGCCCAGGACAGGTTCAGATAATACAATCGTCACTGGTGTTGGCCGTGAGCGGGAATCAAACCCGGGTGTCCAGATTCGTAGCGCAGCCCGTTAACCGCTACACTACCGCCCCCCACCACACACCACACAAGACGACACTCCCCGTGGGGGCCCGGCCCGGCCCGGCCCTGCCGGGGCGGCTCTGCCTTGGCTGGCGGGATATCTAGGCAAGACTGGGGACTCACCCGCCCAGCAAGGCCGCAGCGTCAGACAGCCACAGACGCCGATGGAAGCGCCTGGGGTATTGAACCACGGGGCAGGGGGGGGTGGTGTCGTGGGGGGCCGTGCGGGGACACGGACGTCGTCTGTCGCGCCCCTCGCCCCTCGCCGCCTTCTCCGCTTCTATTCACGGGCGGCGACGTCCGGACTCTGAGCAGCGACTCCGGGTGTGGGCGGCGTCACGTGGGTTCACGTGACGTCACGGGGGCGGAGCCGCGACAGCGTTTACACGCGGCGATTAATTAGAGCGTTCATCGATTACCCAAAACGCATATCGATTAATCAGTGATCGATCATCGATGAAGAAGAGGAGATGTCGATTCATCACAGTGGATATCGATTACTGAAAGTGGATATTGATTCATCAGAGTAGATTTCAATTAATCAGCGGATATCCATTCAAGAGTGGATGTCGATTATTAGAAGTGGATATCAATACAATTTCGATTTAAAGCTTTCGTGACTGCAGGGATTAATCTTCTTGGTTCTTTCGGTAAAGTCACGTAGAATGGAAATAATAAAATAATAAAAAATAAAACATCATAAAATAATTCTCACGACGTTTCGGCCACAACGCAAGCAGCCGTCCTCAGGTGAAGAACAGGTCTGTCGATAAGACAGAGTCTGTGACACGTCCTGGGCTTGGAGCGTCTATTTAAGCTGGGAGGGGGGAAGAAGAGCGCCTTGACAAAAGAATTTGCATATCAAGAGGAATTTTAGCATATTTATGTAATATTACACTATGTATTATTCTACCCACCCTACTGCACACCACACTGCTGCATATTCACCATACAACTACGAATTTTAGCATATTTATGGAAAATGCAGATATGCGACTAGTACTACGCATTTCACAAATAGTACTAGTCGCATACTATTTGTGAAATGCATAGTACTAGTCGCATATCTGCATTTCCCATAAATATGCTAAGGCGCTCTTCCTCCTCCCTCCCAGCTTAAATATACGCTGCCAAGCCTGGTGGTGTTCATTCAGAAGCTGTCTTTCTGACAGACCTGTTCTTCACCTGAGGACGGCTGCTTGCGTTGTGGCCGAAACGTCGTGAGAATTATTTTATTGGTTTATTTTTATTATTTTATTATTTCCATTCTACGTGACTTTACCGAAAGAACCAAGAAGATTGATATCAATTGTTCAAAATGGCCATCGATTAAACAGTGGGTATCGATTTATCAGTGGCCATGGATTAATCAGCGTGGATATCCATTAATCAGAGTTAATATCGATTACTGGCAGGAGATATCGATTAATCAGTGTTAATATTGATAACTAGAACACTTGCCTGGTGTTTGGAAACCATTTAAGGAACTATGGCCATTTGCAATGATCGATGAGATCGTTGTTAAGCAATGATAAACTATTCACTAATCAAACGCAACACAATGGTCCTTGTATTTATCAGACCAACATGGGCATATTTCACATTTTATTGTAAATATTCCCATCTGATTGTTGCTGATCGATTTGCAATGCCGATAAATGTAAAATATATATACACCGTACATGTATTGGTCAATGAGAGAGATCAATGACTGGAATGCTGAAGAAATGTGACCTTTGCTACACAGAATGCTAAGCTCCTCAACATGGCCATAATGTTAAATGTTTAACATTTACGTTCATGTTTGCCAATTAATCGATCGACAATGTATTGATTCATTGATTGTAAAATACGTACTGTCCCTGGCCCCTGTGCGTGAGACACCATGGGCCATAATTCGGCCACTTTTTTTATTTCCTTGAATTTATTCAAGACTGCTAAAGATCTTCTTTCGGCCACTTTTTCACACGATTTTAATGTCATTTAAAAACAAGTTTTTGGCGATTTATGAATTAAGGAGGTAACATAAGGGCAGGAGTCAAAATATGGGTTGTAAAAATACTTCTTTATGTGGCGTCCCTCTGATGTCACGTTTTACATCAAGCGCCCTCGCCATACACAATACGGTCACTTCGCGAAACGGCGTTCAGTGTTGGCAAATGTTCCACAAGTTTATCAAGAAGGTATGTTGAAAACAAAATTATATGCTTTAAGAACAAACATTTATTAAAGACGAGTAAATCCACATTTTATTACCATTCTTGTTTTATTACACCATGTCATGAATTCGGGGAATCCAATCACCAAGAGCGATGTGTGTGGGTGGCTGTGCTGATGGACTCATCCCCACGACCCTTTAATCCGTGACGCACGAGGAGCCTTCCCACTGCACGTTTCGTGGGTTCCGGCATTCATATTTAAAGCGGCTGGTAACATATAAACGAGTTTAGACAATTGCAAATTCTAGAGCTAAGGCTAAAACGTGTCCTGCTTCAACCAGTGCAGATAAATATACACTTGGGGTTTTGGTGAAACACTAAAACGTTCGAAACAACTTTGAAAAGACCACGACAACAACCGTCTCCTTAGGTGTGCACAGTGCCACATCGATCTTGTTCATTCAAACTTTCCTCTCCGGATGCCGAAGACAATGCTCATTCCATAGAACAACGTCGTTAAGAAGGCAAAGATCTGTTGGAATGAACATACACAATGTAGAGTTACACTTCGCTCCACAGCCTTCAATGCCTGCACATGTGGTGGTGCATGTATGTTGCATATTGAACTTCTTTCGCACCGTACGTAGCCAACCGTGCTAATCGGAGGTGTGGGGGAAGGACAACAAACTAAACACAAAAAGCAGTTCTAAAGAAATGAGTTTTCAGTCTATATTAAAAGAGCTTAGCTCCAGTGGCTTCCTATTATTGAAATGAAGAGCGTTCATCACCTAAGATTAGCACTGTTGGCTAAGTACGGTGCGAAAGAGTTCAACAGCCGCAGAAGCACATCTGAAAGCCCGCGATGCAGTGACCATCCGTGTTCGATGACGAGACAGCTGGATTACAGGTGCACGCCTATAACACAGTAATTGAGAGCCAAGGGTTGGTGAATCACAGAGATTTGTGAACCTCTCAAACCCATTAGGTTGCAAGGTGGTCAAGTTATATACAGTATATCAAATGTATAACTGAATCCAACTGTGCAAAGCTTTGAGTATTATCCCTTAATACGCGTAAGTTTTCTCCAGGAAACTCCAGTTTCTCCAGTTTCCTTCCCCAAGTAAAAACACCCAAAATAATTTGCCCCAATGCAGGACACTCCATATTTGAAACGGGATGGTAAGCAAGCAATTCATTCCGCTTGGTTGTATATCTGTGAGGCAATACACTGCTTTACACGGGTAGGATCAAGTATAGTCACACCATGACAGCATGGATGCTGAGAGAGGCGGCATTGTCGGCAGTGGCGTGTTTGGAAAAATCGGCATTTGGGACTCGAGCAGCTCAATAGGAATGTTTGATTTGTTTGTGATGGTTCTTTTAATATTTCGCGCCTGCCCTAATGCTATCCCAATCTTGCTTTCAGCATCACGGAACTAGATGAAGAAGCTCTTTGGATCTCTCATAGAGCAGAGCAACCTTCCGTGATGGAGAAAAGCCGATGACAGCAGATATCAAAGCTACATCGGAGATCCCTTCTTCGAGTGTCCTCTGGTCCGCACACAGTCGAGGGCAGCACCACATGACAGAGATGTACATCGCGTGCCAATCAAACCGATATTCGAATTCTCAGAACTGAAGCCAAAATACATGTAAGTGCAGAGCTAAGTTTTATTGCAATTATTTTTGTCCATTTATTGGTGACTGATTCTAGATTTTAAGTTTTCGTGACTGCAAGGATTCATACTCTTTGGTTTTTTCGGCAAAGTCACGTAGGTTACACCTGATGACGGAGGCTTGTGTTGCTTCCGAAACGTCGTAATTTAATTTATTTTAATTTTTTACCTACGTGACTTTACCGAAAAAAACAAAGAGTATTGGTGACTGGCCTGAGACCATCAATGTTATGATGTTTGAAAAAGGCTACTTAAATTTCGATTTAAAGCTTTCGTGACTGCAGGGATTCATCTTCTTGGTTCTTTCGGTAAAGTCACGTAGAAGGGAAGTAATAAAATAATAAAAATAAAACATAATAAAACAATTCTCACGACGTTTCGGCCACAACGCAAGCAGCCGTCCTCAGGTGAAAACCAGGTCCGTCGAGGCGACAGAGTCTGAATGAAACAGCACACGAGCTTGGAGCATATATATAAGCTGGGCGCATTGACAAATTCCTTTTGATATGCAAATTCCTTTGTCAATGCGCCCAGCTTATATATATGCTCCAAGCTCGTGTGCTGTTTCATTCAGACTCTGTCGCCTCGACGGACCTGGTTTTCACCTGAGGACGGCTGCTTGCGTTGTGGCCGAAACGTCGTGAGAATTGTTTTATTATGTTTTATTTTTATTATTTTATTACTTCCCTTCTACGTGACTTTACCGAAAGAACCAAGAAAAAGGCTACTTATTTAAATGAGGCATCACAGTGCTTTAGCAGTCAGAATTAAGGTCGTTCATGAAATATGCCCCGTGGTGCCTGTAACATGAATGCTCCTGAGAGTGCTGTAGATGGTTTATTGTAACGCACAACATGAGCACTATTAGCAACCTCATATTTCATTAACTGTAAAAAAAAATGTACATGCAAAATTCACATTTATGAGAATGAGAAAGAAATGTCTAACTTTGATTCCGCTGAGTGAGGCGTTTTGCTCCGTGACGTTTGAGTGGAAGTGCCCGCCAGTGGCAAGTGCTTGGAGATGGAGAGGGCTACATCCCCAACGGAGGGAGGACGTGCAGGTGGCAGTGGAGTGATAGACACTCAAAGCAGGGTGCAATACAAACAATTCTAGGATAAAATTAAATAAAAAGCCATCGTGGTGAAGTTTCATCCAATATTAGATTGACAAATAATTGAACACAATTATAATACACCACATAAAAGGTGATGTTGCCTTCATGCGGTATTTGCACTTTGAAATTATAAAAAGAACGTGTTTCACCTTGGGAAGCCTCACCGAATATCAACTGTTTTAACGAAGGCGCCGCAATATTTTTTATTCCAATTCTAATAACGAGTGTTTGGTTTCGTGTAGTACACGTGGTAAAGTGTGGCATGTCACTGAAAAGGCATCAGTAGGAGTTATCTTATACGTTTAATTAAAACAAACAGCCTCGGCTACTGATGTGCGAGTTCCGACCGGACACTTGGTATCGTGACATGACACTGGCAGCAGCGTCTGCAACCTGTGTTGCCATGCCTGTGGGTACCGTCTTCGGACTGCAGCAGGACTCACCACAGCAGCCACGTTGAGACCGTAGAAAGAATTCCCTGGAAATGAGGTGGCCAGCAAGTTTGCCAGCAAGACTGACGCGCTGAGGTACATGCCAAACGCCACTGAGTTGTACAGGATATCCTGGGCACATGCACAACAAAGAGGCAGTCAGCTGGGAAGCAGATTTTGTCCCAACATCCCAACATAGGACCACAGAGTGCCGGTTCTGGGTTGCTTCCCACTTATCAGTGGTATCCCACATCTCTGGATGATTCTCTCTATACTCTCTCGCTCGCTCTCTCTCTCTCTCTCTGAGAGTTTACAAAAACTGTGCGAATTATAGATTGTAAATAACTTTTACTGTCAGTTCCAATTTTTTTCCCCTAATTATACCATCTATGTTCGTTCATTTGATTTTCAATCCGCTTGTCCTGGTGAGGGTCGCGGCAGCAGCATGTTAAGTAGGGCGGTCCAGACCTCCCTTTCCCTGGCGACAGACTCGAGCTCTTTCTGTCTGAGAAATTCCCAGGCGTTCCCAGGCCAGCTGAGCGACATCGTCCTGCCAGCAGCATGTCCTGGGCCGGCCCCGGAATCTTCGCCCAGTGGGACGTGCTGCCTGGTACAGTTCTAGGGGGAGTCTAACCAGGGGGCATCCTTACCAGGTGCCTGAACCACCTCCTATCTATAATTTATAAATCTCTCAAAACAACCGTACAATTACCTCCAATATGTTTTGATGCAGCAGTAGTAAATTGAAACTATGATTGTAAAACCCGTGAAGAGAATGCGTTGTTGACGAGGCTCATGACCCATCTCTCAGAAGATTGAAATCGTAATTGTTTAAACACAGACAATGAAGCGAATGAGAAGAGGCTCGATCCGTTTTAAGGGCGTCTCGTCAAGAGATACACGGTAAGCAAAGCTACATTAACACGTTTCTCATTCAATCTTGAATATAGCAATATTAAGTCAAAAACTAAACTGAGTATACATTATTTGCTAAAGCAGCTGAGACCATTTAGAGACCGATTAATTGTTACACCCGAGAACCAGGTTTAATCATGAGCAGTTGCCTGGATTTTAACCCAGAAATTCAGCGGTGCCAACTCTGCACTCTGACACAACGCGAGTCGACTGAGCTTCCCAGCCACCTCACACTGGCTCCAGGTTGAGGAGGCCACAGAATCTGCCTCTGGTTTTAATCTCGGCGACGTGTGTAGCTGAATTGAGTTACGTGAATCCAAGCAGGCGCATGCAGTCGGCTTTTTGTGTTTAATTTGTTGAAGTTCTCCCGCACCTCCGATGAGCACGGTTGGCTGTGTACGGTGCGAAAGAAGTTCAACATACGTACGTACAGTCCATGCAGATTCTTAAAAACACTGCTCACTCGAGTCCAACGATTGTGCAGCATAAAATAATTCAATGGGAACCAGTCATGGTGATTGACGGTGCAGCACTCACTACTTTACTCCAGTTACTCGTTCACTGGTGGTCGGTTGCCTCCTTATCACTCTTCTATTGCTGACACCACAGTTACCGTTCCAGTGAACTTCACTCGTAATGAGGACTCGGTCAACCGGACACCGCTTCGTGTCATCCAGTGTTCAACCACCACACTGCAGGTCACAACAACACACTCACTAACCCACTCACCCCTCTACCCATTCACCCACCCACTCACTCAACCACCACACTGCAGGTCACAACACACTCACTAACCCACTCACCCCTCTACCCATTCACCCACCCACTCACTCAACCACCACACTGCAGGTCACAACAACAAACTCACTAACCCACTCTCCCCTCTACCCCTTCACCCACCCACTCACTCAACCACCACACTGCAGGTCACAAAAATACACTCACTAACCCACTCACCCCTCTACCCATTCACCCACGCACTCACTCAACCACCACACTGCAGGTCACAACAACACACTTACTAACCCACTCACCCCTCTACCCATTCACCCACGCACTCACTCAACCACCACACTGCAGGTCACAACAACACACTCACTAACCCACTCACTCCTTTACCCATTCACCCACCCACTCACTCAACCTCCACACTGCAACTTGCATCTTTTGTATTTTTTCTTCTTCCCTTACGCTAGACTAGTTTGGAATTCCATCCCATCGTCTCTTTTCCCAGCACTTCGGACATTAATTCAATAAACGTAACTAATCTGTTATAACTTTATAGTGCCATTTGTTGCTGGCCGCTTAACGTTTTGGACCTCTGGGGCTGTGCTCAGCAACTATGCAAAAAAAATGGATCACTACCATCACCAGCCCCTATTGTCTTTCGGCTCCAATGATCGATTCAGCCACCTGCCTGCGCCATGCGAGGGTGGACAATCCGAGTTGGCGCAAGCTGCCTCTTCGAACTCTAGCCACAAGCCGTCGCTGCAGCAGGACAACCGCCAGGTGGGACACTTCCAGTGATTGTCACGTTGACAGAACCAATGATGGCCACAGCAATGTGGCATTTAAACCAGTGGCTTGAGACAGCCAGCGGGGATGAGCGTTACCCAGAGCTTGTGTGGGCACGAGGCCTCATTGTAGACGCAATATTGACATAAACGACACTGTAGCTGTGCACTGGGGAGAGCATGCGGAGTGGAAGTCGGGGAACGAGTTTAGCAGCGCCGTGTCATGCGCCTTGGGCAATGTCGATCAGCTCCGCGGGTGCAGCAGTTTGCGTTCCTAGGTGGCGGCACCGTAAGCGGCGCAGCGGCGGCTGCCTCGCCATGACTTTACTGGGGCCGTCAGGACTGCTCACTTTTCATGAGTATCGAGTTGTCGTTTTGTAATTCAGTGGCTTCATTAACAGTTGTGTCCTGGGCTTAACCAGCGACTGGTAACATTACAACACCAACCACCACGCCCGATACGGTCCATGGCCCAGGCACACAACAGTCGAGCATTAAGCTAATTACTGACCATGTCAATGTAATTCCACAGTGGCAGCGCACTCATTTTTTGAATGAACTGATAGGCAGTCAAATTCCCATTGGGTATTACTGTAGATGCAGAGTGAACCCAGGGCATGCATCATTGCAGTAGCCCGATGGTTACAAAGGCTTTACAAGCAACAACGCACAAAGCATGCCTCAACGCAAACGCAAGAATAGTGAAATGCTGTGACTTGTAAAGGTCATGCTATGATATCAGCTTCCATTCAAGTTTCACATTTGAGAATAAGTGCATGCTCTTGTTACGATTGAGAAGACTGATTTTGTGAAATGTTAAGTTGTGTTTCTAGACAAAAGTTTAACCTTTGCTTTCAAAATGTAATTTTAAAATATTCAACTTAAATAAAATGTTGATTTTAAAAACGTTTGTGATTTCCATAAAATAATTGCACAATTTTCGAATATTTGATTGCACCAAATGTGTACCTCAAATTTTACCTAAATATTCTCATGTCTCTCTTGAAGAAGAGACTTGTCAAGTGGTTTATAAATGGTTGTGTGAATGGTATAACTATGATTACCAATTAGTAGTAGACATAGTTGTTAATGATCACGTGCAATGTAATACTCGTTTATAATTATCACTAAAACATAAACTGGCCACTATACAGCTATATTAGAACTAGTAAATTGCACACGTGGGCGTTGCCACACACATCCAAGTTAAAATAAAGTGGTACAGGGCTGGGTTTCTGGCCATACGGTACTGTATAGTGACCAAATTCCGCAATCACAAAATTGCGAGTTCAAATTCTGGTGAGCGGTGAATGTATCCCCTCTCCATTCTAGTGTTGGTGAAATGAGTGCTGCTTAGTGGGAGGTAAAACATCTGTTATATTATATCGACTCGCCCCTGTCATATTTACACCGCTGGCTCAGGATTGTAATTTGGATGAGCAGCACACCACAGGAATTTGAGTGGGAACCAATCTCACATTAAAAACAAATATTTTATTTATCCAGGAAACCATTTTTGAACCTACATTGGGGATATTTGTCAATTAATTATCTTCACTAATTGTTTCTAGATTTGAAGCTTTCGTGACTGCAATGATTCATATTCTTAGGTTTTTTTGGTAAAGTCACGTAGGTAAAAACATTAAAAAGTAAAAATAAATAAATAAATATAAATCACGACGTTTCGGAGGCAACACAAGCTTGTGTACAAACCAAGGTTCTCTGCAAACCTCCTGGCTACCATCAAAGGTTTGTACACGAAGCCATACAAATATACACAGACATAATTTCAACCGTGATGACGGTTACAAACTGAGTAATCATTGGAAAGATGTGATTAACCATGCAAAAAAGATTTAACTGCACTTATTTGCCAATCTTATTTGACAGACAACCATCACAGTTTTACCATGTTTAGTGGTGGTCTCCCTGTTACAGGTTGAGTCACAAACCGCACCTCTCCATAACAAAGGCTCAGCCGTTGTTATGCAGTCTATTCTTAGTCTTAAGCCTCACCTTACCATATTAATAAAAAGTATGCGGCCCTTGCCCCACCACCTTCTCCAACCATTATATAAACGGAGTGTTAGCTCCTGCAATCTCTCATTTACTTGATACAGCTGTCGAAACGTCGTGATTTTTATTTTTTTATTTTATTTTTACTTTTTAATGTTTTTACCTACGTGACTTTACCGAAAAAACCTAATTTACTAATTGTTTTGCATATGGGAGGAGTCCAGGTTATCTGGAGAAACACCAAGCATATGGGGGAGATACAACTCGAAGGTTCTCACAGAGATATTCCTGATCCCACTTGAGGCACTACACCACCTCCATTTAAACGGCAAGGTCGGCAGAGTGGTAATCCTCTCGCCTCAGCAAGAAACACTTGGGTTGGATTTCCGACTTGGGCACATTTCTGTATAGACCTTGTATGTTCAACCCATGTTATGCATCGGTTTCCTCCAGGTTCTCATACAAACTAAATTGGTGTTGGCCAAACATTCCAATGCACCTGAAAAGAAGTCATAGGACTCAATGTGGATTTTCTGGGTAAATAAATGATGACGAACCCACTGGCTGTGATACCGCCTCGCAGCCCAACGCGTTTGGGAGCCTCGCAGGTTCCCACGGTTCACGCTCCCGGGATTGACACGAGCGCGCTGGCTGCTCACTCTATGTTGCACGCGTGCCAGCAGTTGCGGCGCCGCCGCCACCAGCGGCTGAAATCGCCTCTCACCGCTGGAACGCGCTGCGCCCAACATTTAAAATAGACCTGGGCGGTGGCGGCAACTCTGCCTTAAGCAGCTGACATTTGCAGATGGTGCGGTGGCGTTCACACGTTCCCCTATAACCACGCGAGACACTACAGGCGACTGGTTATCCCCAACCAACTGTTTCAATAATGTCTTCGGTGTTCGTTTTTCAAGATAAAATTGCTGTGTTGATGTTCACTTTCTGTTTTTGTAGCAGGCTAGTCTGATAGTCAGCACACGTACATTTGCTCACATTTGGACAATGTTTTAAGTTTCTCGCTGCTTTTGTTCTGCACAGAGTCTAAATCAATTTACCCAGGCCTCCCTTGCACAACAGCATTGCCTTGAAGGACTCTCACCTGATTATAAATAAATACAACTCATTAATAAAAATACATCAAATTGATTACTGTATCCAATATGAAGGCAATCAAAAGACTGGATTTTGACAAAAACTATGATTTTAATTATGACCCATAGGAATTTACACTGGATGATGAAAACATCAAAACGTGGTCCCCAGCACTTGTGTTACTTTATTGTGATTTCGCTTGTTTACCCAGGAGAGCCTCACTGAGTCTCAGGACTCTTTTTTAGGAGGGTCCTGCCAGATGTATGGCAGTAGGGACGATGTCGCTGTGTGTTTAATCCAAATTGACTGCTTTGCAGGTAAGCTTTTAGAATTGTGAGTGTGTGTGTGCTATAGCTTTTTGAGGGGGGGGGACGTGCAAGGTGATGGAGTGATGACTATGGGGCAGAGGGTTGGGCATTGGAGGGAGGGGTTGACTGGAGAAGCAGCGAAGGATGAAAGCAAGAGTCTGGACTAGAAGAGGGGGATAAAGGTGATGGTGCGGAGCCAAATGGGAGTGCCAGGAAATAGGGGTGGCAAAGGGGAAGAAGTGACCTCTGCAGATCAGATATTACTTGTGGGGGTTCGCCAGCGCGCCTTTGTCACTGGAGTGGTGTGCATGGGTTGAGAGATAAGAGAAGCCACAGAGAGGGAAGTAAGACAATTTGGAGCCAGTCGAGGTATCATATACGTAAAGTATAAATTGGCATCTCACGGCCATCTTCCAGGCGTCGATGTTGCGCTCGGGCATGTGGGAGAGGTAAATGACGAACTGGATGAAGGTGAGAATGAAGAATGTCACGGCCACGAACATCACCCAGCCCTGGTATGTGGGAATCGGCAGGTTGGTGCCCGCCTCCAGGAACCACACGAGGGCCCCACACACCTGCGGAGAGCAGACAGCAGAGAGGACTCTCAGCACCGCACCGCCTGGTACACACAGCAGAGAGGACTCTCAGCACCGCACCGCCTGGTACACACAGCAGAGAGGACTCTCAGCACCGCACCGCCTGGTACACACAGCAGAGAGGAGTCTCAGCACCGCACCGCCCGGCCGCGGCGTAATGTTTAATGGTCAGCACACTGCACTTGGTTAATGCACACACTTTAGCTTAAATGCATAAAAATAGGGATATGTTTTATACAATACAAAAACACACTACAGCAAAGGGCATTGTTCAAAAAGATTTGTCACCTGAAATAGATACATATTTAACCCGATATACAAAATATGTCAAAGTGTTTAAAGCAAATAGGCAGTGATCATATCCTATTTACAACCCTGAGCCAGTGGCAGAAACTCCACATTCAAATGGCAGGGTGGGTTTATCGATGACAACTGTTGATTACCCTACAAAGCGGTACCTGTTTTATCAACCCCAGAGTGATGATAGGCTGTCAACCCACAACCAAGATTTGAATTCACAACATTCTGATCGCAAGCCGCCCACTCTCCTGCTGAGCCACCTGGCTGTATACAAAACCCCCATAGATGCATACAGCGATGCAATCATCATCATGGGTCACTTAAGCATGGGCAGCATAGGGGCGCAAGCGATGCTTTGGCAATCCACCCTCTTCATCTCTCGCAGTCTTTTAGGGATCAGCATTAGTCCCTCCGATGTGTACTCTGTATAATAATAGAATGCCATTAACTTTGAAATCAGTTAACAGAGCGCGAGAAGTGAAAATTGTCCCGTCGGGCACCGAGTCAGTTTTAGCGACGTTAACAAATACAGAGTAAACCTGTCGAACGCAATTTCAAGCCAGCGATGAAAACGCGCAATCACTTACCAGCTCTCCAACAATGAGCAGCCCATCGAGCCGGCGGAACAGCAGGGAGCCCAGCGGCAGCGATGGCTTGTGGCTGAGTCCAGAGATGTCGTGGGATCCGGTCTGCATTGCTGCCGCTCTTGCTGCTGCTGCTGCTTTACGCGGGACTCAAATTCAGCCGGACGGCGCTGCTGCTGCTTCTGCTACTACTGATACTGGCTAATGCCAAAGGGATCCGGGCGGGGCACCAACTTGCCCTGCGACCTCCCCCATTCCTCCGCGGTCAGAGCAGGTGTGGACGTTGCCGAACCCTTACCCGACTGGAACAAAAACACGCCGCACGCAGGGCGTGGCCGACCGCCGGCTGTGAAGAGCCCAGGTGGTCGGACCGGCCATGGGTGGGAGTCATCACTCGCATGCAGCCACACCCTGGCTTGGCCCTCACCTGGGGGGCAGGCGGATACAGCCACCCTGACCTCCTCTAACCACGCTCTGCTCCCCACAGCTGCGGCAGTACTGGGGATTTAGGAGCGGTGGATGAGGGATGTGAGAATATGGCAGCTGTTTAATGGGAAACAAGTACAAATGTGAAATAGATTTCCTGCTTACGAGTAATAACTGGTGTGCACATTTCCCGTTTACAGCCTTGATCCAGTCGTGGCACTTCCTCACTCCTATCCACAGGACAGCCGCTGTGCCCTTTCCCACAAAGTGGTGTTCATTTTACCGACGAGCCGAGTCAACCACCGGCCACGATGTGAAAGCGGCAACCTTCCGATTGTGAGCCACTCGCTCTACTGCTGAGCTACGTGGCCGGCCAGGGAAACTCCATTCTGGTTTTCATTTCATCACAAATCTTAAGGATTTATTTCCTAAAAATTGTTCATTTAAATCCACACAAGAGTAGGCTAATAGCATGCTCATTTTGCCAGTGGTTCCGATGTGGCATTACTAAAACTTTACCGTAAACAAAAACCCCATTTAGATTTACAAAGGCCTCTCTGTGTGCAAGTTAAATGTACTTGTTAAATCCTCACTGTCAACATATACGAACCACAAATGGACCAAATCTAGTTAACGGTGCAGTGAAATAAAAACATTTGTTTTTACTTGTAAACCAGTTGACACGTTCAAGGAGCAAACAAACAATCAACTATTTAGGTGCAGTCAGTTTTGCAGTTGAAAAACAAAACAAGGCCAAATGTTTAAATGTTAAAAGCAGGAATTTATTTAGACCACTGTAGATACTCAAAAGATCATGTTTCTGTTCACAAAACTTAAAACACTTTCACATAACGTTTACAGAGTACAGTAGATACCCATCATGACTTGAGGGGCAGTTTCCTAAAAATTTCATGAAATACTGCAGTGACTCAAACCACGAGGCGTGTAACAATCTGTCCCCCCTTGCAATCAGATAAATTGTCGCAATTCAGTCAGAATTGGATTCAACGATAAATGCATGTGATGCCATTGCGGTGAGTGTAGCGCCTCTAGCGGCTGCAGGGTTTACACGAATCAATCATATACAACATATAAGAATCAATAAGAATCGATCCTCGCACCCATGCTTTGATGTACATCGTGAGCGTAAAAATCGATTTTAATCGATGAAATCTGTGCATCATCCAATGCCTATAAACCACTTCAGGAACGAAAACCGCTATTCACCGCGTTATTCAAGAAATGTTTGTAACGTCAAGACGCAGGACCATTGTAGATCACGCTTTGATGCTTCTCCACAACCCTCCAAAGCCTCTTCTCATTTTTACAACCACACAGAAGCATGCCGAAATAAGTGCATTATAAAAATGAGGCACTAACATGTACAGTAAATTTACGTTAATAAGGAAATAAGTTTGAAAACACGATAAGAAAAAAAGAAAAACCTCATCAGTATCATGATTACGAATGCCTTTTAACGGATAAATATGCCTTACAATGGATAAATAGATAGTGGGCCAATGGTTTGGGCAATGGCCATTCTTTGTTAAATCGGATGCTGCCGATGGAATATCGAGAGTGAAAATCGAATCATCGTTACCAAGGGAGATCCGAGCGTTTAATGGCTGACACCAGACTTTAACGACTGCAATCTGTTATCAGGTGATCTCTGGTTATAAGGCAGTGGTAATGATGAAGGTGATGGGTGCTTGCGGTCTATGCTTGTACTCTGCTGCCAATGCAGTCCCTTAAGTTGTTTTTTGTCGTAAGAAAAATCACTAATGGGTTGGCATGGTCCGCCGACCTCCAAATGCTGACGAGCTTTCTTGCTTGGAAAGCACTCGTTCTGTCACATCTGTGAATCATCTCCACCGTCATCACACCCTGTGGAAGGAAATATCATCAGCATCACCACACAACCATCATCCTAATCTTCTTTATAATACTTTGTAGAGGGCTTTTCCTAATTTCTATTAGCGTTAGTAACACACTAGTTTGTAATTGTCACACATGCATCATCATCTTGATATCGGCAAAAAATGGTCCTATAGATATCATCACCATCATCGTCATCTTTATAATAAGTGAAGCCACTGCAGACTGTGTCTGTGAAACAGTGCCTCCATGATAGCCTTGCGCTATGATCACAGTGGGAATACCAAGCGAACTTGTGAACTGATTTTATAACCTGATAAGAGGCTTCGCCTCCTGTCTGCTAGCTGCAGAAGCAGCCATTTAATCGGGATTGGCCATTATCCTCCAATCACAAGAATTCTTCAGCTAAGTTTTGACGGCAGACAAGGAGTCATACAGGGGACGTATGATGCCCTCTACATAGCCAACCGTGCTAAGCGGAGGTGCGGGACAGACGCAGGTGAATGCAGGTAAGTGTAGCTGAGTGTGTGTAGCTGAGTGTAGCTGAGTGAGTGTAGCTGAGTGAGTGTAGCTGAGTGTGAGTGTAGCTGAGTGAGTGTAGCAGAGTGTGAGTGAGTGTAGCTGAGTGTGAGTGAGTGTAGCTGAGTGAGTGTAGCTGAGTGTGAGTGAGTGTAGCTGAGTGTGAGTGAGTGTAGCTGAGTGGGGGTGAGTGTAGCTGAGTGAGTGTAGCAGAGTGTGAGTGAGTGTAGCTGAGTGTGAGTGAGTGTAGCTGAGTGTGAGTGTAGCTGAGTGTGAGTGAGTGTAGCTGAGTGTGAGTGAGTGTAGCTGAGTGAGTGTAGCCGAGTCTGAGTGAGTGTAGCTGAGTGTGAGTGTAGCTGAGTGTGAGTGTAGCTGAGTGAGTGTAGCTGAGTGTGAGTGTAGCTGAGTGAGTGTAGCTGAGTGTGAGTGTAGCTGAGTGAGTGTAGCTGAGTGTGAGTGAGTGTAGCTGAGTGTGAGTGAGCGTAGCTGAGTGTGAGTGAGTGTAGCTGAGTGAGTGTAGCCGAGTCTGAGTGAGTGTAGCTGAGTGTGAGTGTAGCTGAGTGAGTGTAGCTGAGTGTGAGTGTAGCTGAGTATGAGTGTAGCTGAGTGAGTGTAGCAGAGTGTGAGTGAGTGTAGCTGAGTGTGAGTGAGCATAGCTGAGTGGGGGTGAGTGTAGCTGAGTGTGAGTGTGGCTGAGTGTGAGTGTAGCTGAGTGAGTGTGAGTGTAGCTGAGTGTGAGTGAGTGTAGCTGAGTGTGAGTGAGCGTAGCTGAGTGTGAATGAGTGTAGCTGAGTGAGTGTAGCTGAGTCTGAGTGAGTGTAGCTGAGTGTGAGTGTAGCTGAGTGAGTGTAGCTGAGTGAGTGTAGCTGAGTGTGAGTGTAGCTGAGTGAGTGTAGCTGAGTGTGAGTGTAGCTGAGTGAGTGTAGCAGAGTGTGAGTGAGTGTAGCTGAGTGTGAGTGTAGCTGAGTGAGTGTAGCTGAGTGAGTGTGAGTGTAGCTGAGTGAGTGTAGCTGAATGAGTGTAGCTGAGTGTGAGTGTAGCTGAGTGAGTGTGAGTGTAGCTGAGTGTGAGTGTAGCTGAGTGTGAGTGTAGCTGAGTGAGTGTGAGTGTAGCTGAGTGTGAGTGTAGCTGAGTGTGAGTGTAGCTGAGTGGGGGTGAGTGTAGCTGAGTGAGTGTGGATGAGTGTGAGTGTAGCTGAGTGAGTGTAGCTGAGTGTGAGTAAGTGTAGCTGAGTGTGAGTGAGTGTAGCTGAGTGTGAGTGAGTGTAGCTGAGTGTGAGTGAGTGTAGCTGAGTGTGAGTGTAGCTGAGTGAGTGTGAGTGTAGCTGAGTGAGTGTGAGTGTAGCTGAGTGTGAGTGTAGCTGAGTGTGAGTGTAGCTGAGTGAGAGTGTAGCTGAGTGAGTGTAGCTGAGTGTGAGTGTAGCTGAGTGAGAGTGTAGCTGAGTGAGTGTGAGTGTAGCTGAGTGTGAGTGTAGCTGAGTGAGAGTGTAGCTGAGTGTGTGTGAGTGTAGCTGAGTGAGTGTGAGTGTAGCTGAGTGTGAGTGTAGCTGAGTGTGAGTGTAGCTGAGTGCGAGTGAGTGTAGCCGAGTGGGGGTGAGGACTGACCTTCACTATGCGCTTCAGTTGATTCTGACGGAGACACAGACGAGAGCAGTTAGTCGTCGCTGTAGTGCAGTGAGATTGACAATAAACACACAAGTGTGGGTCAACTGTTGAGGCATGTACAAGTCATATATTCACTGCTTTAATCCGATTATTATACTTTTCACGTGCCAAAATCATGTATTAATATCGATTATTTAACATTCAAGCACAACTGATGCACATTTTCCGTGACAACAAATGGAATAAAGAAGACAGAAGAAAGAAAAACGTTGCACATAAAGACTGGCGATACAATACAAGCACCACTGATCCTACACAGGAAAGACAGTACACACAATGCAAATAAAATTATGCAAATGAAACAAAAATTAAAATACATTTTCCTAAATTGTGACCCGGATCGTGGCAAGTCAATGAATCGCAGAGTGAATAATTACAGGCCTAGTGGAAAAAAGTAGAAACGAATAAATCACGCCTGCAGGGTGCTTTCACAAGCCATCACAATGCATTCTAAATTCTGGACATCTGTGAAAAAGAGCTTAATAGCTCATCAGATTTCTCCAGGATAAATACAGATTATGGATCTCAATACACATTGAATAAAAACACAAAAATTGTAAGAATACAACCAGCACTATTTAGAAAATGCAACGTTAAAAGAATTGGTGTCAGTGATACAAACTGGTGCATATTATGAAGGTGCACTGTTGGAAGCTACATCTTTAGTCACAACTTTAAACTATGTACGGACTCTCAGTACCTGATTTTGAAAGTGAAACTGCAATACAAATGCTTTTATTCCAATGAATTAATTCACAAAGAGGGATGCATTTTATAATATAAATTAAACACTTAATGTTACGTATCTATATTCTATTTGTTTTTATCAACATTACGCCTGTCCATTCACCCTCGTGATTAAACACAGCGTGCCCCCCCGCATTGGAAGCCAGTGGTGGTTCCTGTATCATGGCAAGACTGGGCCTTGCCACAGGAATATCCAATTTCCACCTTAGGGCCAGGACCTCTAAAAGAGATACACTCCACCCAGTGCTCGGAAAAAAGCATGGGAAAATGTTGACCTTTCAGGGTTGGGCAATAAATAACATCTCTCAGTGATTGACAGGTGGGGACAAGGCACAGGGAAGAAAGGGTGAAAGGCGCACAGCTATAAATACCTGGCCAGGTGGCTCATCGGTAGAGCGAGTGGTTTGCAATCGGAAGATTGTGAATTCAAATCCTGGTGAAGTGGTCGACTCAACGCACTGACCCTCCGTGTTGTAAGAAACGAGTCCCACTTTGTGGGGAAGCTAACAGTGGTTGTCCTAAGGATAGATTTGCCCTCGCCATAGGCATGGAGAATTCCCACCACTGGTTCAGGGCTGCAAACGGGAGTTGAGCACCGCCTTGATGCTCATTTTGGGCAGGAATTTACTATGACTCAAGTTGACATAAAGGGAGAAAAGGGGCGTCTGAGGAAAGGGGCAAGTGCGTGCGGGGGATGGGGGGGGGGCCTTCTCACTCACCGCTTGGGGTTGGCGAGGTTGATGCGCAGAGGCCTCCCGCCCAGCCCCACGGCGCTCTGCATCTCCACCAGGGCAGCCTTCTGCTCCCGCTCGTCTCGGAACCTCACGAACCCAAATCCCCTGCACGCAGGCGAACGTCACAGGTTCAGACACACGCAAAGTCCGCCTCTTGACCTCTTAGCGATTGCTTGTGGCGGTCGGTACAGAAATTTTAACTCAAAATAAAATAATATCCCACATTTAGCCCCGTGAATGTACACAAGACAAATGCTCTTAGCAAGCACCTATTAAAGCCCACGTGGCGTAAGATGGGGTGGTGTGAGCAGCACTATAATGGCTCCTCCCATTGTCTCTAGAGTGCTGTTGTTTGACCCAGCAGTAGCGCATTTGCCACTTATTGCAGAGGTCAATGGTTCAAACCCGGCAGGCCACCCTGGTTATTACTGCAGATGTATTAACCTTTACATATGTGCTGTCTGCTTCACAGTGAACGTGAAAGAGCCCATGACATCATTCTAAAAGTGTAACATGGTTCACATTTGAAAAGTTTTGCGACAATTACTCAAATAGGTATACACATAGCAGCAATCAACGTCTCTTTCTGGCAGACATGCGCACTAGCAAGCTGGCACAGTCACCTTGTCCCACACAAGGACAGCTCCTATTGGGGGTTACCTTCTAATGTTTGAGATTATATTTTATGCAAGATGCTTTGATATGTTGAGGCATTTAAGCAAGACCATATAAATAAATGCAAACATTATTATCATGTTTACACACCACACCAAGTAGTAATTTAAGGTTGTGAATTGAAAGCAAGGTGCCAGGTTTGTGACAGTGCGTGAATCGACGCACCGCCACTCCCCACATGCACAGATGTGAGGTGAGGAGGACAAGGCGGGCTCAAGAAAGCCATGCAGTGAAGCACGTCCCATCAGCACGAACTCACTGCACTCCGCAGGGCCCCACAAGATGGGCACGGTGAAACAGCTCCATCTTGTGCTCTGGCTAGTGCCACAATGCACAGGCACTTGGAACAGGGCAAAGCTGGTCCCAAAGTCACCTGATTTAAAGCCGCACACAATGCAATGGCGACATCCAAAGTACTTAGTGCGTGCTGTCCATGGGATATACGTGAACCAGTGTGCTGACTCCACTCCTGCGTTTACCTCCAAACCACACAAGAATAACTTACAGACCGCCTTAGTGCGACGCACGGAGCGTGCGAAAATGCTTATGTATGGCGTGTATCGCACGACGACAGTAAAATGGTCAAGGTGCAGACCTGCCAATGCTCGCTCACTGCTGGTGGAAGGGCCGCCACTATTTGGTTTACTCTTTCACGTTGACCAGGCCTATTCCAAGTGTGAATACCCACACTTTACCTCACCGCACGTGATCTGCTGATCAACTATCCGGTGCATGCCTATTAATTCAGCTGGGTGGACAAAAGCTAGGGGCATCTGAAAAAGCTTCCTCATTGTTTTAACTGTTTTATGTCATCCACACGGTGTGCAACTACTGGACATCTCATTGGATTCCTCCAATATAAATACATGTTCTGATTATGAACCACGACACTGCAGGTCACAACACTGCTCTGCTTCTTCCCCTCCAACTGCTCCACTTTTGAATTATTTCCCATTGTCTCTTTCTATAAGCTTGTTTAACTTTGCTCAATTATAAAAAAAAAAACATGTTAACCCTAATCTATTATAACTTTGACCATGCTGTGTGTTGCTGACCGCTAGACGTTGTGGGCATTGGAACTGTGCTAAGCAACTGTGTAACATAAAAAAGAGGCGCCAGGAAATCAAACCGGCGTCCTTTGCATTGCAAGTCCATTGTGCTCACCACCACCCCACAGAAAGCTCGAACAATAGAGACTGACTTTTGACCAAATTTGCCAAATTTAAAAAAATATTTGCCAATTACTTCACTGTGATACACATAGCAATCACCCTCTACTACAAAAAACTTGGTAGAACCTTCCTGAAAAACAGTTGTATCTCAGCGAGGCTTTTCTGGGTAATGTGTAAAAATTAGAGTAATAATATAATAATAATCATGACCGAGGCAGCTGGCATTGTGGTTACGGATGTCTGAGCCACAATCTGAAGAGATTTAGTGAGAGCCTAGCTGGGGCATGAACTCAGCCCTTCACCCCACTACGGTCAATTAAATATGTAGGACAGCAGTCAATTAAATGCGTAGGACAGCAGTCAATTAAATGCGTAGGACAGCAGTCAATTAAATGCGTAGGACAGCAGTCAATTAAATGTGTAGGACAGCAGTCAATTAAATGTGTAGGACAGCAGTCAATTAAATATGTAGGACAGCAGTCAATTAAATGCGTAGGACAGCAGTCAATTAAATGTGTAGGACAGCAGTCAATGAAATGTGTAGGACAGCAGTCAATTAAATATGTAGGACAGCAGTCAATTAAATGCGTAGGACAGCAGTCAATTAAATGTGTAGGACAGCAGTCAATTAAATGTGTAGGACAGCTTTCAATTAAATGCGTAGGATAGCAGTCAATTAAATGAGTAGGACAGCAGTCAATTAAATATGTAGGACAGCAGTCAATTAATTAAATGCGTAGGACAGCAGTCAATTAAATGTGTAGGACAGCAGTCAATTAAATGTGTAGGACAGCAGTAAATTAAATATGTAGGACAGCAGTCAATTAAATGCGTAGGACAGCAGTCAATTAAATGTGTAGGACAGCAGTCAATTAAATGTGTAGGACAGCTTTCAATTAAATGAGTAGGACAGCAGTCAATTAAATGTGTAGGACAGCAGTCAATTAAATGCGTAGGACAGCAGTCAATTAAATGAGTAGGACAGCAGTCAATTAAATGTGTAGGACAGCAGTCAATTAAATGCGTAGGACAGCAGTCAATTAAATGTGCAGGACAGCAGTCAATTAAATGTGTAGGACAGCAGTCAATTAAATGTGTAGGACAGCAGTCAATTAAATGCGTAGGACAGCAGCCAACTAAATGCGTAGGACAGCAGTCAATTAAATGAGTAGGACAGCAGTCAATTAAATGTGTAGGACAGCAGTCAATTAAATGCGTAGGACAGCAGTCAATTAAATGTGTAGGACAGCAGTCAATTAAATGCGTAGGACAGCAGTCAATTAAATGTGTAGGACAGCAGTCAATTAAATGCGTAGGACAGCAGTCAATTAAATGTGTAGGACAGCAGTCAATTAAATGTGTAGGACAGCAGTCAATTAAATGTGTAGGACAGCAGTCAATTAAATGCGTAGGACAGCAGTCAATTAAATGTGTAGGACAGCAGTCAATTAAATGTGTAGGACAGCAGTCAATTAAATGTGTAGGACAGCAGTCAATTAAATGCGTAGGACAGCAGTCACTTAAATGAGTAGGACAGCAGTCAATTAAATGTGTAGGACAGCAGTCAATTAAATGCATAGGACAGCAGTCAATTAAATGTGTAGGACAGCAGTCAATTAAATGTGTAGGACAGCAGTCAATTAAATGCGTAGGACAGCAGTCAATTAAATGTGTAGGACAGCAGTCAATTAAATGCGTAGGACAGCAGTCAATTAAATGTGTAGGACAGCAGTCAATTAAATGCGTAGGACAGCAGTCAATTAAATGAGTAGGACAGCAGTCAATTAAATGCGTAGGACAGCTGTCAATTAAATGTGTAGGACAGCAGTCAATTAAATGCGTAGGACAGCAGTCAATTAAATGTGTAGGACAGCAGTCAATTAAATGTGTAGGACAGCAGTCAATTAAATGTGTAGGACAGCAGTCAATTAAATGCGTAGGACAGCAGCCAACTAAATGCGTAGGACAGCAGTCAATTAAATGTGTAAGACAGCAGTCAATTAAATGCGTAGGACAGCAGTCAATTAAATGCGGAGGACAGCAGTCAATTAAATGCGTAGGACAGCAGTAAATTAAATGTGTAGGGCAGCAGTCAATTAAATGTGTAGGACAGCAGTCAATTAAATGTGTAGGACAGCAGTCAATTAAATGCGTAGGACAGCAGTCAATTAAATGCGTAGGACAGCAGTCAATTAAATGTGTAGGACAGCAGTCAATTAAATGTGTAGGACAGCAGTCCATTAAATGTGTAGGACAGCAGTCAATTAAATGTGTAGGGCAGCAGTCAATCAAATGTGTAGGACAGCAGTCAAATGTGTAGGACAGCAGTCAATTAAATGTGTAGGACAGCAGTCAATTAAATGCGTAGGACAGCAGTCAATTAAATGCGTAGGACAGCAGTCAATTAAATGCGTAGGACAGCAGTCAATTAAATGCGTAGGACAGCAGTCAATTAAATGTGTAGGACAGCAGTCAATTAAATGTGTAGGACAGCAGTCAATTAAGCAGTCAATTAAATGAGTAGGACAGCAGTCAATTAAATGCGTAGGACAGCAGTCAATTAAATGCGTAGGACAGCAGTCAATTAAATGCGTAGGACAGCAGTCAATTAAATGCGTAGGACAGCTGTCAATTAAATGCGTAGGACAGCAGTCAATTAAATGCGTAGGACAGCAGTCAATTAAATGTGTAGGGCAGCAGTCAATTAAATGTGTAGGACAGCAGTCAATTAAATGTGTAGGACAACAGTCAATTAAATGCGTAGGACAACAGTCAATTACATGCGTAGGACAGCAGTCAATTAAATGCGTAGGACAGCAGTCAATTAAATGTGTAGGACAGCAGTCAATTAAATGCGTAGGACAGCAGTCAATTAAATGCGTAGTACAGCAGTCAATTAAATGTGTAGGACAGCAGTCAATTAAATGTGTAGGACAGCAGTCAATTAAATGCGTAGGACAGCAGTCAATTAAATGCGGAGGACAGCAGTCAATTAAATGCGTAGGAGAGCAGTCAATTAAATGCGTAGGACAGCAGTCAATTAAATGCATAGGACAGCAGTCAATTAAATGTGTAGGACAGCAGTCAATTAAATGTGTAGGACAGAAGTCAATTAAATGCGTAGGACAGCAGTCAATTAAATGCGTAGGACAGCAGTAAATTAAATGTGTAGTACAGCAGTCAATTAAATGTGTAGGACAGCAGTCAATTAAATGCGTAGGACAGCAGTCAATTAAATGTGTAGGACAGCAGTCAATGAAATGTGTAGGGCAGCAGTCAATTAAATGTGTAGGACAGCAGTCAATTAAATGTGTAGGACAGCAGTCAATTAAATGTGTAGGACAGCAGTCAATTAAATGTGTAGGACAGCAGTCAATTAAATGTGTAGGACAGCAGTCAATTAAATGTGTAGGACAGCAGTCAATTAAATGCGTAGGACAGCTGACAATTAAATGTGTAGGACAGCAGTCAATTAAATGTGTAGGACAGCAGTCAATTAAATGTGTAGGACAGCAGTCAATTAAATGTGTAGGACAGCAGTCAATTAAATGCGTAATACAGCTGTCAATTAAATGTGTAGGACAGCAGTCAATTAAATGCGTAGGACAGCAGTCAATTAAATGCGTGGGACAGCAGTCAATTAAATGTGTAGGGCAGCAGTCAATTAAATGTGTAGGGCAGCAGTCAATTAAATGCGTAGGACAGCAGTCAATTAAATGTGTAGGACAGCAGTCAATTAAATGCGTAGGACAGCAGTCAATTAAATGTATAGGGCAGCAGTCAATTAAATGACTAGGACGGCAGTCAATACATGGACAGCCTGCCTCCGCCATGAGCATGTCGAATTTCCCAGTTCAAGGTTATCTGTTGAACCAAGTGAGAACTCAAAATACCCAAAATTTGCAATAGTGACCTAGTTCAACAAGATGAAAAAATCTTATCGAATATGAAAGTACAGCAATGAAGCAAATAGATATCAAAGCAAAAAAACCAACTGCGTTATGGATGAGCACCACCCCAATAGACAAAGCTTTGACCGCGAGGGTTGGCCTGGAAAAGCGACGACTCGCGTAAGCACTCACCGCGAGTGCCCAAGGTCGTCCACCACCACTTTGCCGGCGCGGCATGAAGGGTAGCGCCGCACAAAGAAGTCGTAGAGCTGGAAGTCGTCGACGTCGTGTGTCAGGTCACCAATGTAGAGCGAGAAGTCCGACCTGGTGAACAAAGACAAAGATCCCCCGTATAGCTTTAAGATACTGTTGGGGAAAGTGCTAATAGCGAGCATCTATGAAGGCTGGCACGGTAGACGAAAGGGTGGGTGGCCAGCACCTAGTCGCAATGACTACACACCGCACCAGGTACTGGTTTAAGGCTGAGTTGACCTAGGGAAGGCCTAGGACCTGTTCAGATAATCGTCACTGGTGTTAACTGTGAGCAGGAATCAAATCCAAATCGCCGAGTTCGTATCGCAGCGCGCTAACCAATGCACTACCCCTCCGCAACTGGTGAACACACGCACATACACACACCCCCCTCAGACAGAGAAATCTAATTCACAGCAGCTACACACTCATTCATCTCCTTTCCAAAGCCCCACAAGGTACATTCCGCTCTACTGATGGTATTTGGATTCAAATTAATGACCTCCATTTCGCCTAGACTATGTTAATATTTCTGTTTAAGGTGACACGAAAATATTTAACAAATGGCACCACCGTGAGATGGGGTGACCATCTCCCACCGATGCAATTCAGACTATGGACCATACAGTGAAGCACTGTACTCTGAGCTCCTTCAAAAGAAGAAGATAAAAACTACACGCACTCGCTCCTCAAGCCGTCGTGGCTAGCAGACCTTGGCATTTAGCGACTGAACATATTGCCAAAAGCTTGAAAAGAGACGATGTGCATGTACAGTCTTGCGATACGATCATATTTGGAGACGACGTCAATCCAGGTACTGTTTTTATTGTAATTGGACCACAATGTCCTCTTCTTTTCAAAATTATGTCACGTGATCCACTGTGAAGGAGACAGCGCAAATTATTTTTTAGACGTCGCATGCTTTAGAGATTAAATGTGCTGTTTGTTATGGATTTTGATGTGCTTAATTCAAATATGAGAATTCAAACAACTGATTGGCTACTGTTCCCAAGATATTTACGTTTATTGTTGCTTTACATGATTACATGCCACCTCTCCTGTTCATTTAACACTTAAAATATCAGCAAAAGGTTATAAAAATAAGATGTATTATGAAACTTAAAGGCAAAAAAACTATTACGTATATATAAGTACGTAGTTTAGTTCTTATTCAATGTCTACTCGGCGCTTCTTGGCTTTCGGGTAAAATCAGGTAGATGGTTCAAAGAAAATAACAAAAAACGATGACGTTTCGATCACAGCACAAGCGATCGTCATCAGGAGGGAAGCTTCTTGGCTTGTCTCTTGTATTCAGTAAATGGAGCATCTCTTGATTTGATGCTTTCGTGACTGCAGGAATCCATACTCTTTGGTTCTTTCGGTAAAGTCACATAGGTAGAAAATTAATAGATCACGACGTTTCGATCGCAACATAAGCAATCATCATCAGGTGAGACAAACACAGCAGGAGAACTGCTGAGGCAGTACTTTGTGTATCCAGTCTCCAGACCAAGCAAGAGAGCAACAACCTTCAAATCGCCACAAAGCTGCCACTGATGTTGGTCATAATTTATGCACCTCAAAAGTTGTTTCATGTTGTCAAAGGTTTCCTTCTTATGGTCTGCATGACTAACTGGAATTGATGGCAAAACATTGCCATTATGCAATAAAACAGCTTTAAGACTCATCTTCGATGAATCAATGAACAGTCTCCAATCATCTGGATCATGAACGAGGTTGAGGGCTGCCATCACACCATCGATGTTGTTGCAGGCTAAAAGAACACCTTCCATGAAGAAGAATGGGACAAGATCCTTTTAACGGTCACAGAACATGGAAACCCTAACATCACCTGCCAGGAGATTCCACTGTTCAAGCACTGACAAAGATTAGTTTTGCAAGTGTTGCAGCATATGTGTGGGGCCCACATCTTGTCCTGATCTCCAATTTTGCAGCCAAAATAAAGGTGATATGCTTTCTTAACCATCGTGGTTATACTGCGCTTTTGTGATGCCAAAGTCACTTCACCACAAACATAGCAGAGGTTATCTGCTTTGTTCACACAAGTACGAGGCATCTCTGCTCACTTTGGCTAAACAGAAATGTGTCCCTTTGCAAAATCAAACACTGACAAATAATAGAGCATGACACTGTATGATTTCTAGAGCTGATGTAGGGCAATTTGTTCAGCAGAGGGATGTAAGCCTAGTTATGATTGCATCATCCATGACTTCTAGGAATAACATGATTCAATTCATATCATGTATAATGCAATACCAGGTTCAGATTGCATCATTCATTGTTTTGCTCAAAAAGCAAGTGCTGTCCAAACCCAGTCATAGATGTATTCATAGATCCAGTCAAAGATGTATTTTAGTCATTTCTGGTTTAAATTGAGATCCCTTCCCTTTAGAACTCACTTATCCTCCGCCATTCCCAAGTCAAGGGTCGTATATACTGACCCAGGAGCATATCTTGAATACTAGAGCCAATCAACAATTTTAAGCATAATTTTCATTCTCAGTGACCCGGAATTAGTAAAATTGGACATTTATTTTTGAAGCATTTTGTCTGTACACCAGTGTAACCAGCACCACCTGGTGGGTTTGCACAAATAACCCTTGCAACCTTGTTTCGTCCCTTAACATCGTAAATCTTCCTTTAAAAAATATCCTGAAGCAGAAGATTAGTGCTGGATAGAGTTGATCCTTACTTGTGTATCGATAGTTCAATGTTAATGTGACATTGTACTGAGGCACTACTGCTGCGTGCCGTTGTCTTCGAGTGGTCTTGGACTGGTTTGTTGTTGTTTTTGCTGCATTGCTAAAGCTTGATAAATAAGACTTATTTATGTATTGATATTTAGTGACTTGCTTACCTGCTTCTCTAATTTTGCACACGACGTGTCACACGCCCACTGAACCGCCCACACCGGACATCTGTGAGACAGAGCGTCGTCGTTCATAGGATTCCTCCTCCTGCAGTCGAAATAAAGATTCTGATTCTGAACGAGCAGAGAATATGCTAACACTCGGCCCTGTCACTGCCCATGAATTACTATTATAATACTTACAATTATCCCAGCCTGAAATAAAACAAAAAGGTGGTGAACGAGCGTACCCTTGGGGGCGAGGCGTAAATCCGTCTGACCGAGGAGCCATGGTTGTGGGTCTCTGTGCCCAGTAACTCCTGCCAACACACACACACACATACACACAATATTCCAAGTTGATTTTGTTTAACCAGGTGAGAAAGTAATAAATCAGGAGAGTCTGCTATGGAAGAGTGACCCAGGTCACCCAAATGACTAAAGCAATTAATAAAATAAGATACAACAATAAAGCAAAGAGAAATCAAGAGAGACCCGTAAAACATACACAACTGTGAAAGTTTCACAGTTAAATAACGCAATACGAATTATAACTGGAACACTTGAACCGATAACAATCCCCTTGGCTTGCCTCTTCTGTTGAACATTCTGCCACCAAATATCCACAGAGACATGCAAACTGCAAGGGAGTTTGTAAGTTTTGTTGTCAACGACAACAACCTACCCATCATTAACCAAGATCTCAAAAATATACCTATTTGCCGTTGAAAGTATATTCTTAGGTTTTTTCGGTGCCATTGAAAGTCCCATTTCCCCTTCTGGGATCATGCTGTCACCTTCCTAGAATCTCACCAAGATACTAAAGATCTCTGGCGAACAAAGTGGAACAATGCCAACATCCAGAATAAACACCTTATTCCAAACCCAACTACCACACTCCCTGGCTTTTACATTCCTCCTCAAAGACGTCAGTTTAACCATCAACTCCATCAGAACATCAACAGCCCAATGTGCATTAATGGTGAATTAAAGACAAGTCACAGTGTGATCGTGGCCATGCAAACCAAATTACGAGCAATATAGTAAATCACTGTATTTAGTGCTTCTTCAATGTAGGTTGATCAAAACTACACAAACTCTTTCCTGAACCCTCGTGTGGTTATCAGACCTCGGCAGTGGTATTTAGCTCCTGAACGTCTTGCCATACGCGAGAATAGAAACAATAGGTGGAATCCACATTTGCTATAGCACCTGCTCCTGGCAAGCTAGGGTATGGCACGTCCACACCCACAGGGAGTTAGAACAGATGGACATAAGTCCACACTTTGCTAAATCACATTCTCGTGGAAAGCCAAGTGATGGCACCCCAAAACCCACGGGAAGGGAGTTTCACAATATCTGTGCGATCCACCAACACCTCGCTGCCTCGAACGTAAAGTGCTCACATCACGATTGTGGGAGATAGGTGAAGAGCCTGAGGCTGCACTTACCTAGCCCCGTCGTTCACCGGTGTCCTGTTGTGGTTCGCGTAATTCAGCTTGAAGAGTTTGTGCTGCAAAGTCAAAACACGCATTTGTTCTGCCACCATTCATACAAAACTCAATTTACAAGGCATGCAATGACACATCAGTTCATTGATGACACTCAGGCTACACGCATAGAATCACACGTCATTATTATGCACAATGGAAATTACATTCAATTTACATTTATTCTGATGTAGCAAATGAGAAACAGGATATATACAATGAGAAACAATACAAATGAGATGGCAAGATGATGTGATAAATAATTAAATAAGGTATAGGATACCTCGAGTCTCTTGCTTTTTTCGTTATTATTTTTAACTTTCTTTTATTTGTGGTTTTTAACAAGTGTACAGAGGCAAACAGAACCAGAGTCCGTAATATAGGTTTTTTGGGTGAAATCACATAAATATAAATGTGTTGTTAAGCCCGCCACCACCCGACACAGCCAATTAGTAAGGTTTGTCACGTAAACAGAACGTGCCAATTCGTCACTAGTACAGCACACCATTGTGTTGGAGAGCAAATCCGCAACATTTACAATCTGAGTACCAGAGTCGAGAGTTGTCAAGTAACCGACACTTGGCAGTACGCATAATACCACAGCGTTCCTATGCTGCGTTCTAGATTGAGAAAATGCAAAAGTGGTGAAACAGGAGGTAAAATAGGAGACAGAACAAAGTGAAAAGTAAAATAGGAGGAGGGTAGCAGGGTGACGTGAAGAGACAGGGAAGAGGTAAAATCAGGAGCGAACCAACAAAGCGGAACGGTGTATATCTATCTATATGTATATCTACACATCGTCTATCGTGCCGACAAACAAAGCCCCCAAATGTCTTGCCACTCTTCAACATCAGATTGAACCGATGTTCAAGAGTGGCAGGACGACGTGTCACACGCCTACTCGTAATGGTGGCAATAAAACGAGTGACCATTGCTTGGGGGAAAGCAAGGAAATTAAAACGTCATCGGCTGGACAGCACGCGCAAGCATCGAGGTTGTGGTAGCCTTGCGGGTACAACTCCGAGCTCAATCACAAACCCCTGGGTGAGGTCAGCTGAGTCAAGTTATTCATATGAATTTGCATATGGCTCTGCCACAGGCTACCATTGATCTGCACACGCCTTGTATATAACTAAGTCCTCGTGGCATTAGTAATCCACTCAAGGCGCAGGCATTGGGTTTATAGAGTTCCAGAGAGATCTTGTGCGGGGGACACTGAGCGTTCGTCGTGGGTGTTTATCCTTTGTCTCTCGGTGCTCGCACATCTGTACCTCATTCGGTTGTGAGCTGCCTGCGTGAGAATGACTGAGTAACCACAATCACATCCTTCATTTGTTACAAGGTGAGAGACGTGTAAGAGCATTCTCTTCTCAGGATGAAAATGAAAGGCAAAAAAATCCCAAAATGCAAAGACAATTAAGGATTGAGCACGTAAATATGTGAAATGATGCAAAATATCAAATTATACCAAAACTGACACTTAATATTTTAGTTATTTGTTAAGAATGTTTTATATTATTATGCTTCATTACCTTGGAAAGCCTCACTGAAGTCTCAAGACTTTTGCAGGATGGTCCAGCTAATTTTTAAAACTTGGACCACTGGGACACAGTAAGGTGCAACATTCAAGAGGCCTGGTCCAAAACATTAACTATCACCACTTAGATGGCCAACTTGAATGCTCCCTACCGGTCTCTTGGCATGGCAAATAAAAGTAAAATTACAATATAATCGACTCAACTGAAAATCTTACCACATCATTCACTTCCAATTGCCAAATGAACAATTGTTGAATGGGTATCACGAGAGGTTTTTTGTAATTCAAGTGAAACAACTAATCCAGGCACAAGCACCTAGGGTAGTGTTTATAAGTAGTGGTTGATACTGCAAAGATGTACTTCGTGGCACTGCTCATCAAGTACCATGGTGTGCTCCTGCACATGCAGCCAGGAATGTTAGACATAGTGTTGATGGGTGGGTAAATACTGTTTTAACTTTTTTAAGTTTTTGTAGGTAAGGCCCACTGAGCTATTTGTTTATTTTTCAGAAGCGACCTGGCCACAAATGGTAGCTAAACAAAGTGGCTTGTCATCACCTGGAAATACATAGCAGCCAAATACTCTAAACGCACGTGTCTAAATGTGGAGGGAAAAACTGGAAGACCCGAAGAAAAATCCATGCAACCACAGGGAGAACATGCAAACTCAAAATATACATGCATCAGGGTCGGGACCGAACCCACGACTTCCTGTACACCAGGCGAGGTAGTTAACAACTCGCCGCCGTGGCACCTTCAACGTCGTAGGGAGACTGGATGGCTAAGCATGACGTGGTGGAAAGGTGCAGTTCCGAGGTGTAGTGGGCATCTGTGTAGTAGAGGGGTCGTGTGCTGTGGCGGTGGGGGCAGCCGGAACTCACGTGCGCCGCGCCGGGAATGGGCTGTCCATTGAGACTGTGGAGGCAACGCTCGGCCGTGGACTGATCAAGGAACTCCACGAAGCCATACCCTGCCGGCGCTCTGCGACAAACACCACCGTTAATTAGCGCCTGTCGTGCAGCCACCAACACCCGCACTGCGGAAACTACCGCCTCCGCCGGCTCGTTCGCGATGTCTTGCACGCCCATTGGTCCTCATCCAATGCTACCGCAGTGCTGCTCAAAAACTTGAGTGTGGTAGCACTGTGACATGCAACTGCGGTAGCGTATTCAATGCTTGTTGCACAAGTTCTTCCCCTGTACATTAAGCAGTCTCCCTCAACCTCCTTTCGTTTCTCTCTCAAAGCTTACTTCTTCTCCATTGCCCATTCTCTTCCTCTTCCCTCCCCTCCTTCTCGTCCCTCCCCTGCCCTTTTATGACCCCTATGTACTCTTTGTTACGGTCACTCATTCCTCGACGTTTGAACGCCCCTGGAATCTAAATCACTCTATTCATAATAAAGGTTTTTGGGTTAGATCGCGCAAGTTTAAATGTGTCGTAACTTTCCACCACCCGACACGCCAATTAGTAAAGGATTTTTCACCTAAACAAAACGCCAATTAGTTACTACTTCAGCCCACCGGTGTGTTGGAGGGTAAATCCACTACATTTACAATTTGAGTAGTACGACGTTTCGCTGGTAATTACATCCAGCATCATCGGGCGATTTTCCAGAATAGTGAAGCCATCCACCTGCTTCTGGTCTTAAATCGAGCAGGACGACGTCATCACTGAACCATTCAGGGGCAAAGACCAGAGGCGGAGGAGGGGGGGTATTGTAATTATAGAATAGATTAGTAATCAGTTAATTAGTATGTGTTTCCTCTATACGGAATTGTAATATTAAGATGTATTACTTAATAATACGCTTCTAGGCCGTACTAAGCCTGTAGCTGTCAGAGCAGTTAAAATTATTTGTATTTCTCTCAATTTCAATAGATTCTCGAATTAGTCTTGGCCAGTCATAATTAGTTTTACACAACACTTCAACGTTATCAAAATCAAATGAGTGTCCTTGTTGGCAAGCATGTTCTGCAACTGCCGACAGTTGTGTTTGAGAGTATTTAATATTTTTTGGTGTTCTTTTAGTCTTACGCTAAGGTTACTGTCCAATATAGCATGTCACATAAGCAATTAATCCGATACCCACCTTCTGTTGATAACTTAGGCAATTAATCTTTAGTACAATATACCAGTTTTAGAATTTTGTGTACCGTGCCAAATCTTACTTTGATGTTTTGCTTTTGCAAAACTCGAGCTAATTTGTCAGTTATTCCGGCGATATATATTTTAATTGTTTAAATAACCTGATTGCTTTCAGCAGTATTGCTGTTCGATCTTGGTTTCGCATTTAATTCTCTGTTAATTTGAGAATTGTTGTAGCCATTCCATCGTAGCGCTTATTTAACATGTTTAATCTCTCTCCTCAGACTTTCACCATCTGACACTGTTTTAGCCCGATGTATGAGCATCTTGATGAGAGAGGATTTCTATGCAGGGTGATGATGCAAATCTGCATTCAGATAGGCATCAGATATCTTTCGGTAAACGCTGCGTGTTATTTTACCATTTAGGCCGCGTCCGAGCAAAATATCTAGGAAAGTGTTATTCCCCTCCATTTCCATAGTAAACTGGATGGCTGGATTTTGTGAATTGAGATGATTTAGAAATGCATTGTGTCTTTACCATGTGGCCAGACAATCAAAGTGTCATTTACATTATCTAAACCAAAAATATGGTTTTAAAGTACTTGAAGCAAGTGCGATTGCTTCAAAGTTTTCCATGTACAGATTCGCTATAGCAGAAGATAAAGGAGAGCCCATTGCTGCACCTTCCTTTTGTTTAAATAAAGCACCTCTCCATAAGAAATAAGTGTTATTTAGACAATGGTCAGGTAGTTTTGGAATATCTTTTGGTAAACCTGTCTTATTTACTAGCTTATCGAGTAATTTAAGTGACTCGTTAACTGGAACCTTAGTAAACAGAGAAATTACATCAAAGTTCACCAGACTATCATTAGGGTTAAGTTTAATATCTTTAATCACATTCACAAGATGTTCTGAATTTCTTATGAATGAAGATGTCCAACCGGTGTAGGGCTGTATTTGTTTAGTTACATATTTTGCTAATTTATGTGGCAGAGCCTAATGTACTCACTATGGGTCGTAATAGGATACCGATTTTATGAATCTTTGGTAGCCCGTGCAGTCTAACTGGTTTTGAGTCCCTTGGCTTAATTTGGTAATGCTCAGCCTTGGTAATTAATGAATTTGCAACGATTGCAGTAGTCTTACGTTCTAAAATATTAGTTGGATCTCGTTTAATTTTAATATGGGTACTTTCCTCCAGTAAATCGTTCATTTTATTATCCTAATCCGCTCGTGACATCACTACAGTTGTGCGGCCTTTATCATCCACCAGAATTTGGATATCTTATTTGATCGAAGCTCTCTTAAGGACTTCGCTTTGTTAAAGCTAATATTTATTTTTGGTACTTTGCTATTCTAATTATTTTGGCAACCGCGTGCCTCGTCGTCTCTGCCTCATTATGTGGAGGAAGGTGTCTTACCCCTGATTCCACCTCAGCAATTATCTCATGTACTGGAAGTGTGAATGGGGCAATGGCAAAGTTAAGACCTTTAGAGAGGACTGATATCATGTCGCTGGTTAAATCAGTGTTAGTTAAGTTCATTATAGTTTGTTTTTAAAGTGCTCGTTATTAGTTGGAAATTGTTTGTTATGAAGTCTCGAGAATGTATTAATTTGGTTAGTTTTGGTTAGGTTAAATACAAGCTTCAAATCAAGATTAAATACATTATCAGCGGATTAATGTGTTATAGTGTGGATTATATTCCAATAATGTAATATTGGAATAGTATATGTATGGATACACTATTGCTGATGGGCAAGTGCTTTAGAGATTCAGAAATGTGAAATAATTAACTCCTGTTATTCTCTCTAGTAACAATAATTCTCTAGCTTTGTGTAGTATTTGGTTAGCTTTCACAGACTTTGTGATGTTATTTTAACTGCGTTTGGTATTACCTTTGAATCTATGCACCTTTTGAGGAATGCCAGTGAAGACATCAATTTTACACGCTTAATGCAGAGTTTCTACAATTTTCTGGTTTTAAGAAAAGTATCCTACCCATAGAGGTTAGTCAGTTTAACACGTAGGCTTTCGCGACCAATATTATTCATAATAAAGGTTTTTGGGTTAGATCGCGTAAGTATAATTGTGTCGTAACCCTCCACACATTTATACTTACGCGATCTAACTCAAAAACCTTCATAAAAAATAAGCACTAGTCTTAACTCTACCAAACTACTCTTTGGTTCTTTCGGTAAAATCACATAGAAATTTTTATTTTTATTTAAAATAAATTATTTTCTTTCTACGTGACTTTACCGAAAGAACCAACGAGTAATTCCTGCAGTCACGAAAGCTTCAAATCAAGTTTTCTACCGAACGAGCCTATTGAGATTTGTTCCTAACCAAACATCTGTCCCTTAACCACATTAGGCAAACACTCTCCCTACTCACCGTATAACCCTAAGCCATAACGAGCCAATTAGTCTCTTATACCTGCCCGACCCTAGCCCTACCCTAATCCTTACCTTAGAATTCTTAGGATTCAGTTGAAATTCCAAGGGCTCAGACACTTAGAACAATAACTGACAAAATAGTCGAATTCAACATAAATGATTGACCCATAATGCAATTCTATAAAATATTATATTTTAGATTAATATGATTCAAGATATTTAGTCTTGTTACTGTCTCGTCTATTCTGTTCCATTCCATTAGCATTAGAGTAACAGTATCATATAAGGCAAGTAGAATTTACATAAATGAAAAATATAAAAATAACATGTGACTAAATACATATACAGTAAAACCTTGGATTGCGAGTAACTTGGTCTGCGAGTGTTTTGCAAGATGAGAATTTTTTTTACGTAAATATTAATTTGATAAACGAGCGAGGTCTTGCAATATGAGTACTGTAGTACGTACAGTATACGCTTTGTCTGCCGAGCGTCACGTGATCACAACTGAGCCAATGGTTCTTCTCTCTCTCGCTGCGGGATTGTGGGTAATCGTCTCCCATGCTCGGTCTCAGTCGGCGTGCCTCACTCGTATAGTCAACATCCGTGCGAGCGTATACTGTCTACTATAGTGTTGTGACCACGAGTGTGTGCGTAAAACATTTATTTTATTTTGTGTCCAAGTGTAGTGACTGTTCTTTAGTAACTGTACTGCAAGTGAAAGTCGTCCTACACAATAACCCTCCTCTCCTCTCTCTCGTCTCCCTCACACCAGCCACGATTACATTTAATTAATGAATTTGATTACTTTATTTTTAATTTAAATAATAAAAATATAAAAAGGTCTTTTGTATTAATCATTTTTATATGAATACAGTATTTTGGGGTTGTGGAACGAATCATCTGAGTTTCCATTGTTTCTTATGGGGAAATTCGTCATGATATATGATTGCTTTGGATTACGAACACGTTTCCGGAACGAATTATGCTCGCAATTCAAGGTTTTACTGTATAGTGGGCATAAGAATATATTTACATCAGCACACTCTTCACTTTTGGTGTTTGCAGTTCATGGGCAATGAGGTCAAAGGGCCCTTTCCTACCCGGTCAGCCGGTTCCGGATGATTTTGACGCCCGTCACATTTTCGCCCACAGAGGCGAATGCTCGTGCCACGAAACTCTGGTCCATGGCTGGGTCCAGCTGGGCTCAGCATGCGGGAGACAAAAGGCACGAGTGTACATGGACATGTCGTACTCGGAGACATCCGATCACTCTTGGAGGCGACCTGGAAGAGCCAACAATGAAGAACACATCCCCCGTTAAACATCCCATCGTACACGCGCACGCACACACACACCAAGCTGATGTGTCCTGCATACAGCATCACTGGGCTTACAACTACAAGCCGCAGAAATGTGTCGTATAATACCATTTATCTCCCAATACCAGAGTGATCTCCACACTCTCTGAGGACATCACTGCATTGGGATGTTTGGCCACTTAATTATGAACCAACTGTAGAAAATACTTTATGTAGAGGGACAGATATAGGAAGGAGACCGTCTATTTATGTTGGTACTTATATTCTCCATGTGTATTACTTTAGTATAAATACTTGTTAATTTTGATTCATGTTGTTTTCTGACTTTGTGAGCGAAAAGACACAAATTCAACCGCTTTCTCATTGAAAATAGGTAACAAATAAATGTTACAGTGTTATTTATTTTTACTTATATTATCTACGATCAAGACAATCATTTTTGTATTCTTAAATATAGTTTAGTGTCATGTGGAAGGCAACCAAAGTGCCTGGAGAAAATGTATAAAGGAATGACACGTAGCAAATCAACGGTGGGTAACAGACAGCTTCATGAACCCACGACTGTAAATTTGACTTGGTTTTAAGATGGATATGCTTCAGGAAGGTGTTTTACCAACCAAATGACACAACTTTCTTCACACAAACCGCACTGATTTGAGCGTGTTAGGTTGTCTTACACCCATGTACTCTACATATGCATTGTATCGAGAGAGGTACGCAAGGAGAAGAGAGCGAGAGTTTATACCACCAGGGGTGGCCAAACCTCCTTACCCCACGAGGCTCACTTCAACATCTTCACATGGCCGCCAGCCACATGTGCCGAGCGGGTCACGTGGCCCGGTGGTTCTCGCTGATTGGCTGTCGAGTTTTAAATTTTAGAAATCCGTGCGAGCGCTGCGCGAGCCGTCATTGTACGGGCTGCTCTCGCTTCCGCAGAACGTTCCTGTTTCCAATGGCTACATTGACAAGTTGGACATGGTCCGTGTCTGTCGCACCGCCTCTGGTGTAAGCGGTCCGCGCGACTTGTCCGCATCTGCCGCTGCACTGAGGAGCGCGCGGCTCTGGGGGAGGAGGAGGTTCGACTCCGCCACCCGCGGCGTGTTCATCTCACCGGTGTTAGCGTGTTAACAGCGTGCGGGCCCATCTGTTTGGGAATTAGTTTGGCCCTCGATAGTAAAAAAATAAAAGTTCCCCACCCCTAATGTAGAGTAAACACAGATATGTCGGCTTTGGCTGCTTTCCTTCAGCTTAAGCGGCAGGCTGCATTGGGTCTCATTACTTGGTGGACTGGTGATGGGAATCGCGTTTAGCACCAACTGGAGCGATGCAGAACCATGGACTAACCCTGAACCCGGGTGAACCTAAACTCCACACTATCATTTTTGGGGGCCCAAATAATCAAATGTTGGCTTCATATATTTTCTATTAATAATGTAACTGTAATCGTTGTAAATGTAAGACTTCTAGTCCCGAGCAAGGGATCCCCATTTACTTCACACACGGTTATAGTGGGGGGCGAGGGCTGTTTCAATGTGGACAGTGCCTGGGTTCCTCAGATAAACAAGTCGCGTTGGTGCCACTTCGTGGCAAGCCAACAGGAGCCATCCCTTGGATACAGCCCCACAACAGGAACGTGGCATTTCCATCAATGGACTCGTAGCTGTCAATGAGACGGCGCGAGTCCACGTTCACCTGACGTGACACTTTGTGATTCTACACCAACTCGATTACCAAGCCCTGTCCTGCCACAAGCCAAATCTCCCTTCAACGAGTGCGGGTCGCCCAGACGCTTCTCTCTGCACGGGGAGCAGCAGCAGCAGCAGCAGCCCGCGGGGGGCGCGGTGGTGAACCGAGCGGCGGGGGGCCGCTGGAGCCGCCGGGAGGGCCCTGGTGGGTCTCACCACCACCCCGTGCTGCTGCTGCTGCTGGCAGCATCGTGCGGCAAGGCTGCGTGATTCACGGGGTTGCCCGGGATCGATAAACGCCTCATCGGGACCTGGTCCCCAACCTGCGATGTGGATCGGACCCGGCGCGCTGAGCGCGTTGCCGCAAGAGGCGGAATCGAACCCCACAAAGGGTCGCCAAGGGCCGAGCCCCCCCCCAACCCACGTGCTGCTGCTGCTGCTCCCCGGGGGGACCCGGCCTCTCGTGTCGCCCACCCCGAGGTCCTCACTGGTCTCCAGTCCACGCGTACACAGAGTAGCGAGGACCTCGTCCCCTCCTCATCCGCAACCGCCTTTGTCTCCCTGCCCCATCGCCTGACCCGGCCTCTCCGCACATGTTTCAGTGCAGCGCGCTTCACGCGGCGGCGGCGGCGGCTGCAAATTCGGCTACAGCCGCAGACTCGCGCCCCCAGAGCCCGCGACGAACCACGACCACCACCACCACCACCATCGCCATCCTGCAGCGAGCCAGCGACGACTCAAATCACCGCCCGCAAGCCCCACAAGTCCCACCGCCGCATCGACAAATCCATCCCCGTGCGTCTGCGAGACATTCCCTGGTACCTACGTCGCCAATCCAGAGACTTGACATCGTAGCTTTGGTTGTCTCTGTGTCTCCTCGCTGGGGAAGCAACTGCAAAGCAAGGTCTCTGACGAGGGAGAGAAAACGACGACGGCGGTGGTGATGGTGATAGTGATAGTAGTGATGATGGTGGTGGTGGAGCTGCTGCTGCTGCGGCCTCGTCTCTCGTCACTGCAAAATGGCAGCCAGAGGTCGGGCGCCGCGTCATCGCGAAGCGGCGGCGAAGGGGTCCGGCATGCGTTGTGGTGGTGGTGGTAGTGGTGGCGTTGTGGTGGTGGTGGTAGTGGTGGCGTTGTGGTGGTGGTGGCGTTGTGGTGGTGGTGGTGGCGTTGTGGTGGTGGTGGTAGTGGTGGCGTTGTGGTGTTAGTGGTGGTGGTGTTGAGGGGGTGCTTGATTCGGTGTTTACCACAGGAACACCGACACGCACTATCGCTCGCCCCCACCGCAATATCGATGAGGGTATCGCCGCCCACCAAATGTTTTATCCCTCCACACAAACATTGGAGTGGTGGCGCTGTGGTTAGCGCGCTGGGCTATGGTCCGCGGGGTTCAATTCCCAGCCTCGGCTGACACGAGGAGGAGGGGGGCCCTGCAGCTCGGGGTTCATGTTTCTCACTCAATATTTTCTGTCGCTGGTCGAGTGCAGTGGGTGGCACGTGACTCCTGTACAGTAGCAGCCACACGGAGCGAGGGATGCTGGGTGTGGTGTGCCGCGTGCAGTTACAGGACGACAACTGCTTTCGTGTTATGGACCACCAGGGCAGAACCAGCTGCAACATGCCGCTGGGTTATTGCTGAGCACCCTCCTTGACCAGTGTGAATTTGTCAGTATGGACTAACAAGGCATGGGGAGGTCTCCGTCGAGCAGTGAATTTACAAAGTGCTGCAACGTATTATTATTATAACACATTTTAAATCTGGATCCTCACATATTAATGTGACTGAGGGTTAACCAATTGAGTTAATTTAAAACAGTGAAACTTATTACAGTATAATACAATGTGGATTTATATAGCACCTATATACAATCACAGGCAATATGCCCACGATACAAAACCGTGGTCATATGTTATCAAGAGATAGGCAGTCACAGGAGGAAAATATAAAGATATCGAATCTGGACTTGAACAGGTGCAGGGATTCCACAGCACAGATTGTTGGGAGAACGAGTTCCCAGACCAGGGGTAGCAGAGAATGAGCAACTCCCAATTAGCGAAGGTTGACTCAAGGCGTTGGTTGTCGAAGGGGAGTTGAGGGAAATGAGAGGAGAGTGCATGGAGTTTTGTGGTGATGTGGTCACAGCAGTGGAGCTGGGATGTGAAGGCATGAGGGTTTTAAAAAGAACTAGGTTAGGGTCAGATGTGCAGATGGAGGTCTCAAAAGTACCGCTCGTTTTAAATTTAGTTTCCCGCTAAATGCCAAAATTGATTTCCAGTTTTAGGTTTTTCTCCCAAGCTATGAAATTGCAGAAAGGCCAAACATTAATATTTTCGTTATAATTGCTTTCACGACTGTATACACAAATGCATCACAGACCAAATGCTTTTTTGTTTTTATTTTGGTAGAAAATCTGTGCCACCATCATTTATACAAAATAGGCACCTTTTTGGTACAGCTCGTTACAGCTCTTACTTGGACAACTCCAGAAGCAGGTATGCCCCCGTTCGCAGTGCCACTTCAACTGCACCTTGACGCCCACCATCGTCCACACTTGGTGTCAACTACAAGCTGCAGACAATACCACTGTTGTCTACAATAGGCCATGGCAAATCCATTCTCGCTCTGCAAATTTTCTTTTACGTGGACAATACACAGACTAGAGTAGTTGCCTCACTTGTGTATGGTCTGTTGCCGACTTGAGCACTGATATGACAAACGATGCCAATTTTTACCAGCAGGCATCACTGTACTGATGACGTTCGGTTACAACCTAATGTACACATCACATTTAGGGCACAATATACATTCATCAAAAGAAACTGGGAAAAAATTAATGTAAAATTATTGTTAAATAAGTTTAACAGCTACCACTGCCAACAGGTTTACATTGCAGCCAATTACACACAAAAATACAACTCTGATCTGTTCAAACAGGACAGTAAACCGAACACCGGGGCAACAACGCAACCTCTGTCCTAACATTTATTAAACATCGTGCTGGGATGACCATCAAAAATATGAATCGCAATATCCACTCATAGCTATGACCAAAACCATACACAGCATCAAGTACAAACTGATGTAATTACACCAATCAAGTTGTCTTCCCATTTCATGTGGAAGGTGCCGCCATTCAAGCCTAGTCCTAAAGTATGAGGACTCTAAAATATGCATCCCTCTTGGTCTTGAGTGCTTCAGCTTTGCACGTATTTCCAATGTAATACTACACACACCTGCAAATGCCAGCATGCACGAGAGCAGTGGTTCCCAACCCATGCTCAGCAGAATTATTGGGAGATATCATTTCGTAGCTGACATTTTTAAAATCTTACTGGTGCGTGGAGGTCCAGAAAAATGTTGAGGGTTGAAGTAGCTGCAGATCCAGAAAAGTTGGGAACCACTGATCGTGATAACCATGAAGAACTGGGATTGACACCTGCCACACGGAACGTCTTTGCTTCCATAATATATATTTCCTCTTAACACCAACCCATCACAACTTGCCAGAGGAGCATCAATATTAGTCCAACAATGATCCTCCAGCTGACAAGTCTTACAACATAGGCATTTTAAATGTAACAATGTCACAGCCAACCAGCAACAGTTCTGCAGAAAGCCTACCGTACTGAACTGTGAACAAAAGCAGATACATGGAAGTTAAAACGCCTCTGGAAATGGCTTGTATGTAAAATTGGGGGTTCCAGCGAGAGGGCCGCGTTTTTCTTATCAACACGTGTGGGAATGTGGGCATCAGATGAGCAGAGAGGGTGTAGGCTTCTTGCCGGGCCACGCCTCCTTGGCATACTTCTTCTTGCGCGGCAGAGTGGGTCCGGGTTCCGGTGCCGCCGCTGCGGCGGTAGCGGCAGCAGCCGCAGCCGCAGCGGCCGCCGCGGAAGCCGAATTAAGATTCGGTGCAGGGTCCTGCTCGGGAAACACCTCAACGTCGGGTGCCGGATTGGGTAAGGGCAGGGGCAACCCCCCAATGAGCGCGGTGGCCCCAGCACCCGGTCCCAGGGCACTGGGCGAAGTTGGGGGCATCCCCGACTCCCCGCCTGGAATTCCCGAGTAGAGCCCCGAGGAGAACGGGAAGCCGTGCAGCCGCTTGGACGAGCTGTCGCCGGGGCTGGTCGGCGTGCCGGGCCCATCCTGCTTCCTCTGCCCAAGCCAAACACACAGGGGAACGGGACTTATCGACCCGTGCACGAGGGCACATGGGCACGCCACACGTGGTGGCTGTGCTCTTCATGCCCACACTGGAAAGCTGACAAAGTGAAAATGATGAGCAAAGCACTGGAGATGGGGTTAGGAGTTGGGTTATGGTCAGTTGAGAGGGCTAAAACTAATGACTGGTTGACTAGCTACTTCGGGGTTAGGGCTAAAAGTTGGTTGGCTCATAATAAATCCCGTCAAAAACTGTTTCACACTCCTTACAAACTGATATATCTATATCAGTGTTCGACTACTCTTTGATCCCGGTTATTAAATGTATGTTGAACTTCTTTTGCACCATATGTAGTCAACCGTGCTAATCAGGGGTGAGGTTTAAAGTGCCTATCATGAAGATTTTCAATTTGTTGGGCTGTGAGGCAGCCATTAGATAGCAGCATAGAAAATTGGTCACTCACCAATCTGTAAAGTTGTTGTAGTGTCAACTGCTTGTATACTTAGATTGTCTCTGGCAACTCCATTATTCTCCTACATACAAAATATGGATTTGGATACTCATTCCAATGCAGGAACATCCAAAAAATTCTACTTAATAAGACCAATAGATAAATAACTATAATGGTTATAGATATTATTAAAAGGTTAATATTATGTAGGCGGCAAAAGCAATCCACTTGAAAATGGTGTTTGTCTTGCTGATCTCAGTGTGGGAAGTCATGTAGGCGATACACAGCACCTTCAGTGGGACAACGGCCGTCTGAATCATGTTACGGAAACGCCCAACGGACGGGTCAATGTCCTCTGAAAAAAAATCAAAAAGCACCTTTCACAATCACAAACAAAACTCATATAGTAAAACTTTGGAAAACAAATAATGCCTTCAGTTTACACATCTGTTATTATGCTTCAGAAAAAAAAACATCACACTATTGAAGTTAAGGGGTAGGTCTATGCATGGAATGCATTGGTATTAATTGTATCAACCCCAGAGGGGTGAAAGGTTAATCTACCCCTGACCAAAATTTGTCAAATCCAGCGTTGGATGAGGGCATATGCATTCGTGTTGCATGCCGTTAGTGAAGTTTGACCATACTTTACCACACTGGTCAGTGCGGGTTGAAAGTGGAGGGGAGATCAGAACAATGGATTTTGCTGCACTGCCCTCTGCTGCTCACATTATACCTGTCCTTTGCACACACGGTGGTCAACTGGGTGATTTTGGTCAGAGAGGTTGTAATGCGAATACATAAATATAGATTTCCAAACCGACATATCACTGAAGAGTTTGCCTTTCAAATTGTGTTTTTTAACCGTTGTAAACCGCACGCGTTTGTAGCCAGACACGTTCACACGATTGCGTCTGCAGCCGCAGGGAGAGCTCAGATCACAGGCGTGAGCGAGTGGACTCGCGTACCTGGATTGATGACCTCCTCGTCCTCGCTAAAGCTCACGTGGAAGCTCCTCCGCCTACGCTTCGGCCTAGGCAGGTCCAGGTTCCCCTCCTCAATGGTGAGCGTTGCTATGCGTTTATTATGCGCGGTATTGAAGTCCGTAAGGTTCTGATTGCACACAACATACACATTTTCCAATCAAAAGACAATTCCAAAACCTCGTACGAAGTGAGTCAGGAAAGCTCAGTACTCCCCTGCATTGGACATTAAGTAGCCGTGTAAAGATCGAGCGACTATAATTGTTTCATACGCTCAATATATATGGATTGGTTCGTGTAACCATGCATTTTTTAATTATTATTTATGCATTATGTTGCATATACATTTCTGATGTTTTAACATTGATGCTAAGATAATAAATGACACTGTATGAGACAGAACAAATGATAAGCACCACAAACGTGATTGTACAATCAAGATGAAAAACAATATTCTTGAACCGAATCAAGATCCCAATCGTAACGTAAAATGACAGATGGTGGTCGATTGTTGCATGCCTATTAAAGATGAGTCTTATGTTGCCAAGCATTAAAACATTACATATCAAATGTATAAGTCACCGTTACTTAGTTGCACATCAACTCTGCATGCACAAAAAGGTTGACAATGCAGGCTGGAATCTGATACCATGTTGTTACCCTCACCAGCCTCAGCAGCACAGCTGTCCACTTCCTATAATGCAAAAAGCAATGCACCCCCCCCTTGCAAAATATCCCCAACACCCTGCTACTGTAGAGTTCAGAATTACAGTATTTGCACACCAGCAGCCACAATTATTGCTTCAAGCTCTTGACATCAACCACAATTAGCTTGAATCACCAGTCTACGTCCACCAGCGAGAACCACCGAGCACCACCGTACACCCCTCCCCCAAGTTCCCCATAATGCCTATTTCCCACTTTAGTAAACTTTTTGTACGTGACTTCTTAGTTGCCTGTATATATCTCGCATCCTAGTTTGCTTAATTATTTTTGTAATCGGTGCATGCGACCTGCTGACTTTAATTAAAAACACGAACACCGACAACAAAAATAGACCATAAGTTGGAAAGTGCACGAACATGGAGATACCCTCCTTAAAATTGCACTGAGAGACAGAAGAGCAGATGAACCAACATACAAACGCAAATCAGATATGATCAGTAAGTTAAGATGAAGGGAAATTGTTGGGTGTAGGCAGGACACATCGCTCGAAACAAGGACGGCTGATGAACAAGATTAGTGACGCCCGAGAGGGCAACCACATTTGATGTAGAGTTGTGAGGTCAATTCATGAGCAAGAGTTGGCTAGTCACACAGCAGGACCAGTGAAGGATGGTGATTTTGTGACAAATGGCTGATGTTGATGATGACACGGGTTAAGTGGGAACCTCACTCACATCTAGCTCTGTCTCCTCCTCCGGGAGGCCAAGCAGTCCACCCTTCATCTCCTCCTCTTCATTCTTCTCCTCCCCCTTGCCCGTGGCACCACCGGGCAAGGTCTGAGGGCGCTCGCGCAGCGTGTAGGTGCGTGTGGAGGCACCGAAGGTGAGAGTGGTGTCCACGGGAACCTGCTGTGGCTTGTGAGGCTCTAGACGGATCTGGCCCAGGAACGAGCCATGTGCTGCCACAGTGACGAGGTACACGAGCGTTATCTGTTCAATAGGCACCCTATATGTTTAACGTTTCTTAGATAAAATTGTACTAGAATCAATCTAAAAATAACATGTAAAAGCCGACTTACACAACAGGCATTTTATTATTTAATGCCATATTTTCTTTATCACGTGACAGGTGTTTGCTATGAGTTATATTTGCTTCATTTGTGTAATCTATATTGGTTTGCTTTGGTAATTTTGGTGACAGGTCATTCTTGAAAATAAGACTATCCTGGTCTCTTGCGATCTCACCTGGTTCAACAAAAATAAACTTGAACTTTGCCAGACAATGCGTAATTGATCACATCATTTCCATATTATACGCTGTCGGTTATCAGCTCGACAGTGTACCCAGGATAACGGAATTCACTATATTTCCATGTGTATCACAGCATGCAACAAACAACTCACTGCTATTGAGGTCGATGATAAAAACCCTCTTGAGGTGTTTGTGGTAGACGAGGGCAGCATGGACACGTGAGCATGATTGGTGGTCAATGGGGAAATCGCACAGGTCTTGATTCCGTCCAAACAGGTAATATTTCTTCTCATCAATTATCAGTTTCTAAACATGACAAGATCGACATTCAATATTAACACTCAAATATTATCCTCGACAACCTCCCCAAATCTTTTGACCTCTAAATTCCATGACACAAAATGTCAGATATATGATCCACACCCCCATGCAACATTACCATATTACTCCGATCCCTCAATTAACTCCAAATAAGTCACAGATTCACTTCAATATTGCCTATCATCTCACTTTAATCTCCCCCCACAAACTCTCAATTCCAGCTTTTGTTGAAGCCAAATATCAACCTTCTTTCAGGGAAAGTTTACTCTCCATAATCTCGAATTCCCTTCCCTATGCCATATATTCTGTTAACTTCTGTTCAAGTCCAGGCTGAAGACCATCCACTGCCTTCCGATTTGGTTGCATTTAGATGCTATATAAATCCAAATTGTATCACAAAATAGTCATACACAGATTCATCTATAGATAAGAAAGGAAACAAAGAAAATGTACAGGTTAATCTTCTTGGTTCTTTTGGTAAAGTCACGTAGAAGGGAATAAAATAAAAATAAAACATAATAAAATAACTCTCACGACGTTTCGGCCACAACGCAAGCAGCCGTCCTCAGGTGAAGAATGAAACACCACCAAGCTTGGAGCGTATATTAATGCTACCCCCATCCCCTCCCTTTGATGCTGCTAATCCTGCATAATGCATGGGCATAATATGACTTTGAAAACCCCCCGCCCACCTCCTACGCATTTCCCATAAATATGATAAATTCATCTTGATATGCAAATTCTTTTGTCAAGGCGCTCTTCTTCCCCCCCTCCAACCCAGCTTAAATATACGCTCCAAGCTTGGTGGTGTTTCATTCTTCACCTGAGGACGGCTGCTTGCGTTGTGGCCGAAACGTCGTGAGAATTATTTTATTATGTTTTATTTTTATTATTTTATTACTTCCCTTCTACGTGACTTTACCGAAAGAACCAAGAAGATGAATCCCTGCAGTCACAAAAAAGCTTTAAATCGAAATGTACAGGTTAAATTATTGATGACAATGTGAGCATTAAAAACTTCATATGCCAAATGAAATCTGAAAAAATACTGTGAAAAAATATATCACCCCTATGAATTCTAGACAATCACCTTAACATTGACATTCAACCGTCATTCATTCTTCAGTGCATGTGTACGCAATAGATTACTGAGAATTTGAAACCCCTTGTCACGTCAATTATAGAATATTTACAATGGTCAAAATTAGTGTGGGAACAATTCAATTTGGTAAAGGGCAGGAGGAAGCAGAATGCATTCACAGAGCGCGTGATATGCAGCTGTTAACAGCAACACAACGACAACCATCGCACCTCAATCATTTTGTCGCCTTTAATCACATCGAGATGCAGCCCGGGTGGCGGCTTTCCAGCCCTGTGGGGAAGACACAAGGTTGAGTGTATGCGCAATATTTTACCACAACATAAGGGCAATTACTTCAACAAATACAGCGGTCAAATGTATTTTAGCATCTCAACGAGTCTCCCTACTTTTTCGATTTAAAGCTTTCGTGACTGCAGAGATTCATCTTCTTGGTTCTTTCGGTAAAAAACAAGCGTGGGGCTGCGCGTTGTGAATGTAAATCTTACCCACTATTAACTTTCAACAAAAGTGGCGCCCAATTTATTGACTCGAAAGAATATGATGGGCCGAGTCGTAAACTACAGATAGATTTAACTGTTTAACACCAATGACCGCTTTAATGAGGAAACATCGGTAACGTGTGCAATGCAATGCACACACACGCAGGCACTGAGAGGAGCACATGGTTCACCTTGCGAATCTTTCATGCAGGGAGAATTCCTCATGCTGAGCACTTGCTGCACTTTAACGACAACACCTTCCAGGCTGGCAACTTCCACCACCTCCCACAATGTACTGTATACATACACCACCCCTACCACGCCGTTAAGTATAGGGCTATACACATCACACGTTACCGAAGGTCAGTCGGCAATGGCTCGATCTTTCCCGATGGTAGATAAAACAAGTACACTACTGTACTACCTTTGATTACAACAGTCGTCCTATGGAGGCTGGTCTCCGCCATATGAACGTGGAATTTAATCAGTGCGCTGCAGAGTCCAAACCTTGCGAGACAAATTCCACATTCTTATCACGACATTTGCGTTGCGATCGAAACGTCGTGATCTATTATTTTGTCTACCTACGTGACTTTACCGAAAGAACCAGAGTATGGATTCCTGCAGCCACGAAAGCTTCAAATCAACACGGCGCAGCCCTGCAATTGCTTGCTCAAGCTACTGCTGGCGGAAGGCTATCCACTAGAGCCCATTGAAATGTATCTTGGCCTACTCCTCCGCACCGGCCCTGCGTGCCGCGTGTGGCACCATGCACCCCACTACGAGCGTGGCCGTAGTGGGGTGCATGGTGCGTGGCCGGCGCTCCCCTCCCATGCGGCAGCGCTGAGCCAGAGGAGGAAATTACACATTCCCATGACAGGGCCCAGTTCATCCTCAGGATGCCCACTCTGAAAATGCACGGCACACGCTCACTTGAGCGCGTTCCTGTCCATTGCGCAAATTGAGTAAAGCTATACATGTACACAGTCTATAAACAACCACGAATACTCGCTCATTTAAGTGTTCGAGCATGCATGGCCCGCGCCCCGAGGCTTCATCTAGGCGAGGTGGCGGGTGCCCGAAGCGAAGCCAACGGGCGAGAAGCGCCGGGGACCGCGGGAGCCTCGCGGCTCCTCGGGGGCCGAGGCCGAGTGCAGCCCGCGGGGCCCGGGGAGGGGGGTCGCGATGGCGCAGTCGCCTCACCAGGACGGGCACTCGAAGAGAGACTTGATGATCGCATCCCCACTGCTCGACGCGGCCATCTTCCACTTCACTCCGCCCCTTTTCCGTTCCGCCCACTTTCACCTTCACCACGCCCACTTACACCACCCACTCACTCACTCACAGACAACCACCCACACATTCACTCCACCCACTCACACAGACACCCACAACCACCCACTCACACAGACACCCACAACCACCCACACTCACAGAGACAGCCACACACTCACTCCACCCACACAGACACCCACAACCACCCACACACTCACTCTACCCACTCCACCCACACAGACACCCACAACCACCCACACACTCACTCCACCCACTCACCCACACAGACACCCACAACCACTCACACACTCACTCCACCCACACACACACTCCACCCACCCACACACTCACTTCACCCACACACACAGAGACACCCACACACTCCACCCACACAGACACTCACAACCACCCACACACTCACTCCACCCACACAGACACCCACAACCACCCACACACTCACTCCACCCACTCACCCACACAGACACCCACAACCACCCACACACTCACTCCACCCACTCACCCACACAGACACCCACAACCACCCACACACTCACTCCACCCACACACACACTCCACCCACCCACACACTCAATTCACCCACACACACAGAGACACCCACACACTCCACCCACACAGACACCCACAACCACCCACACACTCACTCCACCCACACACTCACACAGACACCCACAACCATCCACACACTCACTCCACTCACACAGACAAATACAGCCACCCACACACTCACTCCAGCCACACACTCACACAGACACCCACACCACCCACATAACCCTCATACTACCGACTCCACCCACACACACTCACCCACCCACGTCACCACGGAGCCTGTGCCAGGTCAGGTGCACTTTGAGGCCACGTGAAGTGTCGAAGACTCGCTGATATGAGTTCACGGGACAGACGCAGGTGCCATGGGTTGATTGAGATGCATGGCAGATGCGCCAGCTGTGCCCCCTACTGTCAACTTGGTAGATTTTAGTGGTTAAAAATGTAACCTAAGAATATGAATCCTTGCAGTCACGAAAGCTTCAAATCTAGAGTTAAAAATGTAGTCAGGAGTTTTGACTACAAAGTTATACTAGTTTTACTGATATCATAGGGATGATGAGCTGAGTCAGGCTCACCTTACCGTCACACCATAATTGTTGTCCTTGTTGCATAAGCAGTTTATCTAAAATAAAATGTGTTGGAACATTGACAAGATGCATGTAATGCGTGTGTCCTTTTGAAAAAATACATGTTCGACTTGCAAACAGGATGCAGATATGCACTCATACTTTATACTTTTCTTCATCAAATAGGGTATATTCAGTTAGACGCGTATTAAAATAAGAGCACGAATTTAACCACAGTGCACTATACCAGTAGTGGCTGTGATAGAGAACACTATAAGTTACTCAACCGATGAGAATACATTTTATATTTGTAAAAAAAGCTATTTCGTTTTCATTCGTAATGGAAGCCCAGTAAATGAGAATACGCTTTTCTCTCAGGGCGATCCTGTTTTGGAATTTTTTGCCAATTCCTCTTCGAGAAACGTTTTGAGGCAATGATCACGATTTGTTTTTGATCAAGCGCCCTTTACTCCGGGGCATCTTAGAGCTATTTATACAACGCGACACTACAATGAGTACATGTTCATCCCAAACAAACGAAAGGGCACTCAGCCTCATTTCGGGCACAAGGTGACTCTAGACCAGTGGGTAGTCGTCTGCTCTGTGGGGGCGCTGATTTCTGCCACGTGTAATCGCAATTGAGTAATTTGCAGGTAAACATTTGAATTTTCTGAGTGTTGGACCATGACGCCGGTACACAGTGGCCTACTCGTTTCGAATGACGTCGCAGGATCTTTAACGTCCACTGCGAAGCAGACGGTGCACGGTATTCTACAATTAATAAATCATGGCTATTTGGTGTGCAGGGAGAAAAACATTGCCTTGTCCTGCGAGCAACATGACCCAGAGTCGATACAATGTGAGTTCAAATGCTGGCCGGCGTCCTTTGCCTTAATACGAGCGCCACCTCCTGAGGCTTAATCCCCTGAAGGAAAGCGACCAGTTATGGTATCATGGGAGAATGGTCCTTGGCATAAAAATGCGAAATTTCCACCACTCGCCTGAGGATCACCAATGAAGATAATTACCACCCAATGCTCGGCCACGGCTGTCGATTTTGCGGCCCCCGCTCGCCTGCGCACCCAATGGCCTGTGCGGCGCCGTGAGGATTAATGAACTGTCGCACAGCGGACTCTTATGTAAATGTAATCTGAGAATGGGCCCCATGCGGCTAAAATAATGACCGCATCACTAATTTCATCATCCGAACGGTCACACTTCATTACATGACATAGAAACGTATGTGGATAAATACGAGTATGCAAACTGCAGCGTCGGCGTTCGATTGCCCTCCTGGCTTTCTTCTTGTGAATAGCAAAAGTAAAAAGCCAAAAAAGAGAAAAGTGGGCTGTGCGAAGAAGCACTATAGCTGGGCACTATGGTTAGAGTCGGGGTTAGAATTCTTGCAGAAAACTGTGGAGTGTGCATGTTCGGGCCAGGTGGCTCAACTGTGGAGTGAGCAGCTCGCAATCACAGGTTGCAGGTTAATCTTGCTTCAAGGTTGACTCAGCCCACCATCCTCTCAAGGTCGATTATGGGGAAGTCAACAGTGGTTGTCTTATGAATAGACTCGCCTCCACCATAGAAACGTGAACTTTTCACCGCTGGCTCAGGAATATCAACAGAGGATGAGCACGGCCTCAATGCGCATTTGAGCAGCAAATCGCTGCATTTGAAAGCCACCATCTGGTAATGATCCCACAATTGTTTTGGTCATTTGTAATCTGCGGCATAACGTGTATGTATGAGAGTTACCGATCGTATCTACTCGACTGTTGAACAGTGGCTCAAAACTCTAAAGCACTCTAATCATACATTTCAAGCGCCCCTCACAGCTTGTGACCCTCTATCGCCCATCCCTATTGGCCACGCCTGATAGGGTCTCTTTATGGGCTGAGAAAATATGGTTTGGTGAAGATGAATATCCTTACGTATCCTCCAGGACATACACACTCAGCATCACTCATCTTGCCCGCTTGGATGCTCACATTCAGATACATCGTATAAGACAACAGCACACATCGCTCGCTCAATTTGCATCACTCATCATCTCACCAAACTACTCAGTCAAAGTCAAAGATCCGCATTTATCTGTAGAGACTGTTGAGGCCTGTGCAGTTAGTAACCGCCTATTAAGGCTGGTGCATCACACAATAAGTCACTTTGAAAACACATTACGTCCTTAATTCTAGATTTGAAGCTTTCGTGACTGCAAAAGTCAAAAGTGATGATGGGTACAAACTGAGTAATCATTGGAAAGATGTTATTAACCATGTGTAATAAAAGACTCCGTCAGGCACTGCTGGTCTCCGTTGGTCTTTTATTGGGTTCTTTCTCCGCACCCTGCTGGTCCTGTCCGCGGACCAGCGTCGTCTCGCGCGCGCCCCGCACGCGCTCCCTTGTCAGCTCCTCTACTCTTCCTCACACCCCGCTGGTCCTGACAAGGGACCAGCGTCTCCTCGCACGCGCCCACGCACGCTCCTCCGTTAGCTCCTCCACTCCCGCACTCCGCACACCGCTGGCCGACGGCATGCTGAAGGTCCTTCGGCAACGTGGCCGATGGCGCGGATCTCCTCTCACCACCCAACGTGGCTCAGCCTCTTAACTCCTGCAACTCCCCTGATCTTTTCCGGGCTCCCACTTATATCCTCTACCCCACGTGACCCTGACTCCTCCCCTTCCGGATCGTCAGATCCGGCCTTCCCATACTGCCCTGCTGGCTCCACCCCCATTCACCTCGCTTCCCATTGGAGCTGAGGTGAACGGCGGCCCCTCCCACACACCCCCATACCGGGCTCTGCCCTCCAATACCCCGGGCCATGTGATTGGGCCAGAGCCCAGCAGCAAACCCCATTTACGCTCGCATTACACATGTAAAAAATATTTAACTACACATATTTGTACCATCTTATTTGACAGGTACTATTATACTTAACCGAGTGTTGACATCCCCAGCGTTTAACAGTACTGCTTTCTTTTATGTTTATTATCAGCTAACACCGGCCACAACCCCGAGTCGATGTGCACCATTGTCCTCTTTTAGCCCCCCCCCCCCCCCCACTGTTCCATTCCCTGGCTACCACATTCAGATAAGCCCCTCCCCCCCTCCCCCTTAACTTGTATTTAAGAGCTTGTCTGTTGGATTTTTCCTCACTTGATACAGTAAATTTAGCTATGACGGTCCCATCTGATGACGGAGACTTGTGTTGCCTCCGAAACGTCGTGATTTGTTATTTTATTTCTATTACTATTTCTATTATTTGTATTATTTTACCTACGTGACTTTACCGAAAAAACCTAAGAGTACATTACGTCCTTGCCAATGGGATGTTCCATCTCAAGGAATTATCCAGGTGAAATATTTTACGTAAATAAAGTTAATTAAACTAGGTGCACATTACTAAGCCTTGAGCTGTTTTTTGAGTTCAACATTTGCTGTTTCCTCAAGCGTACATGGTACCATCCAAACACCCTCACAAACGCACACCTTGATATGCCTCTACTCTGCTCCAATTAGATTGCCAAGTTCATAGCAAGTTCATAGATCAAGGTCAAGGAGAATATTACATTGGCGGTGGCAGCTCCATCGTGCAAGGAATTAAAAAAAATGTATGGGCCGAATATTTTGTAGATCAAACAGAACAGTGAAGGCAGAGAAATTAAGGTGCATGGGAAGACGGTAGGTAGGCGATATTTGGGGTTTGAATTCACGTGAATTTACAGACAGACTCATTAATATATTTAAATATTTACGTCCCCCTTGAAAATAATGTTGGTCGCAATAAGCTCTCACCTGGTTGGAGGCTGTGGGGTGAGTGGTGGTTGGGGGTTGTGGGGTGAGTGGTGGTTGGAGGCTGTGGGGTGAGTGGAGGTTGGAGGTTGTGGGGTGAGTGGTGGTTGGAGGTTGTGGGGTGAGTGGTGGTT